TCATGGCTTCTTCCGACCATATTGCGCGGCAACCATTTGTGTTTTGTTCCTCTGAATATCCAGCGCCATTCATCGCTGGCTTCTATTTCTCCGGTATGCGTTAGAAGGTAAAGTAATTGATAGTTTTAGGTGTTATTGGCCTGAGATATCAATGAGAATAGATTTGGAGGCAAATTGATCATCGTGGAGTTAAGCATAGAGTCTGACAAGGAATTCCTCTGGTTTGACTTGATTACAAAAATTAGTTCTTTAATTAATTAATTAAGCATTACTAATTAACTAGAGTCTTTCGACAAAAAAAAAAAGTGTGATTGGTTGACCGTTGACACGAGTTGCTTTATCTTTCAACATATTGACTGGTAATTTGTTTTGTCATGTCATATCATATAATACTACTTCTGACCTGCCAGCGCTAATCTTATTTGTTTAATGAAAAAAAATTTAATAATTGAGATTTTAATTCTGTTGCAATACTTAAATACAGACTCTACTCCTAATCATGTTTGGTCAATGACATGCGATGCAGCTACAAAATTCAAGGGAACATGAAAACAGTTAACATTGCTTTAAAAAAAAAAAAACAATGCAGTTTGAACAGTAATGCACAATAGATTTTGCTTCTCTTCACCTTAAAAAATCTTGTATTTCTTTTTCTCTAAAAAGGTTTTTTTTAATAATTTAAGGATTTTTTTTTTTTGTATCAAGATTTGCAAAATTGACTTTCTTCTCAACTGCATTTTGTAAACTGAACTTGGCGGTGAAAATCAATTAATATAAATTTATATTTAGATGTACTTTTATAAAAAAAAATCGATTTGAATATTCATTTAGATCTTGTACTTTAAAAAGGTGTTTAGGTAAGATCAAAACTATGATTTTAGAAGTGTTTTTACGGTATACGAAATAAATATATAGAAGAGTTTATCTCGATTTACATAAAAGTACTTCTGAAAAGTGATTATTGGGATATCCAAACACCTTATAAATTTAACTTGACATTTGGAGGGAAAAAAATCATTTTTTTTTTATACAACAAAAAAAATCATTTGATTCTAATACTAATCTCAATAAAATTTTGGGCTCAAAATGTCCTTTTGGATTTACACCAACCAAATCCAAGCAAGTCCTCTTCAACTTTTCAGGAATTTTTTAAAGAGGAATATCGCACACTATGAAGATATAAATTTAGTCAGCCCAAAGCTATGCATACAAATAAAATAGCAACTTTTTATAAATATACGGATCTGATTACTTTATCAGTAAACTGTGCTAAAGCATAAGCATGAAGAAACACTGATCAATTGCTTGATTATTATTATTATTATTATTATTATTATTATATAAATCACATTATGTCCTCACAAATATGTGCATGATTCTGTCCTCCCCAAGTCATTCTTTTAAATTATGTCCCTCAATCATTAACATAGTTTCATGATTATCTTAAGGATAGAAAGTTATAAGCATTGGGTAAATTAAAAAGTTAAGTATCACGCTGATCATGATTATCTTAAATTATAGTATTTTTTTAATATCTTGATATTATTGTTCTGTAATATTCAAGATATCAATGACCATAATTTTTTGAGTCAAATTAATCACAGTAGTTTAAGGATAGAAGCAGACAAGGAAATCGCGTGGGTCATTCTCAAAGGGATACTAGTGGGGATTTTGTACTTGGTTTGAATTAATTGCAAGTTATTTTACCTCTAACAAGGGTGGGCCCTGCTTAAAAAGAACAAAGAAGAAGTGGTGAAGTCACATTGTTCATGATTTAAGAACTATTAAACTTACTTTGAAGTAAATAATAGGATTAACTGATATTTATTCAGAGTCTAATTGCAGTTGACTTGTATATTATATTTTGACCCATAATTCATATGGTCTATGCTAAGTCTTACTTTGACCTTCCTTAACACTAATAAGCTCAGTTCAGCTAAAAAAAAAAAAACACTAATAAGCTCAGGGTTCTTGAGTTGTATGTTTGAAAAATATAACAATAAAATTAAAAAAAAAAAAAACTCGAGCTGGGTCTACTTTGCTGCGGTCAGAAGGGGGGGGCTATGATTAAGCCGGGGTTTACCATTTTAATTTTGTTACAGTAGTTAAATTCTTTTCTGATCTTATATATAAGTCACTTTCAACATATTTCATACAAATCAAGGACAATCTTAAACTTTATTAACTCTTATTTATAATTTAACAACTTTTCAATTTTATCCCTATTTAATATTACCTCTTGTCCTAAATATAAGAGTTAGTTGACTAATTTGAAGAAATTAAGAAACTAAGTTAGTTATTTTTAATAAATAAGTGTTATTTTTTTAAAGATATCTTTACTAATCAAATGTATTGGTTAGAACTACCATTATTAAAATGACTATCCTAGAAAAAATGTATAAATATGAGAAACAAAATAAATTGAAATCTTATATTTAGAATAAAAATAAAAGTCAAACGAGTTTTTATATCAAGGATCGGAGGTAGTATACATTATATGCTATTAGAATAAAATCAACACAATATTAAATAAAGGATAAAATTATACATTTCTATGAAAATTTTCTTTCTCTATCCTATAAATAGGATAAAAAAATTATTTCTCTCTTTCTTATAAATAAGAGGAGTAAATATTAACACTATTTCTAATCATGTTTTACCTGTTAGATACGGGATTCAGGGGAACTTGAAAAAGACTGGTATCTCCTAATGTTAATGACTGGGGAGCGACATGGCAGTGTGGAAAAAAAAAAATTATGCTTGACTCTAAATATAAAAACCAGTTCATATTGTAATTGTGTATTATTACCTTAGGTCTTAATTACTACTTCTAGTCTTTAATATAATAATTAGTTGACCAATTTGGGTAGACTAAGAAAATTAGTTAAGTTAGTTATTTGTAATAAATAGGTATTGTTTTCTTAAAATATCCTTGATAATCAAGCGTATTAGTTAGAATTATCATTATTATGGGGATTATCTTAGAAAAAAATAGATAAATATAAGAAACAAAATAAATTGAGGTCTTATTTTTATGATTAAAATAAAAGTCAAATAAAGTTTTATGTTAAAGATCAGAGGTGATATATTACTAGATCTTATATTTAAGACGTCATGTAGTAATAGATATTTTGCTTCCTACTCTCCGCCCCTCTTCAGTGGACGCACATATTATTGAAGAAAGCGCGAACAATCCGAAAGTCTGCGGAAATTTTCTATAATAAGGTGTGTTGAGGAGATCTAAATGTGTAAGGCGGACTGTTTGTTAAATTCTGCTTAAAATTTTCGAGAATTTGGGAATAAATGAGGAAACTTATTTTTGTTTTTAGTTTCAGCTGGTGCCATAAATATACAAGGCTTAAAAAAAAGGGGCAAAACCCACTTTTCTTTCTTTCTTTTTCTGTTTTTTTAAAATAAAAAGGACAGATGTATTAACAGTCCGATGCTACAAGCGAAATCAAATTTCGCCTTCTACTTTTACGCTATGTTTGGCTCGACGGAAGGAAGGGGAGGGGAGGGATTTTAATCAAAGGAAGGAGAGGGGAGGAAAGGGGAGGGTAGCTACAAAGGGGAAGGGAGGGAGGGGGAGGGGAGGGAGGGATTTTAATGATCTCCTGTTTGGATTGATTGGAGGGGAGGGGAGGGAGCAATTTTAATAATACCTTATTTTGTTCTAAAAAAATTGACTATTTTAGCCTCATAAAATTTAAATGAATTTTCTCACTTTTTATTTTGTTAAGATATAACTATATATATATAATACAATTCACTAATTTTGATTTACAAGATACAGTCACACACTTATAGAATATCAAGACAAAAAGTCACAAGTGATAGATTTCAATCAAAGAAAAGATCTTGAAGGTAAAAGAAAATACCAACGGCCTCTTAGAATTAGAAGAAGAGAAAAAAAGTTTACAAATGCTCACTAATTTTGGAGATAATTATCTTAATAACCTCTTATTAGATGCTCAAAAGAACTCTATTATGTAGAAATGTTTATGATTGATTAGAGGTTAACAAATCGAAAGGGCATATAAGGAATTAAAATATCATCTCTCACCTCCCCTCCAAAAAACCCCACTTTTGGAGGGGAGGCTAGAAGGGAAGGGGAGGGGAGAAGAACCCCTCCCCTCTTTAAAAAACATCTTAACCAAACGAGGGGAGGAGAGCTCCTCCCCTCCCCTCCTAAAAAATTATACCAGCCAAACAAGGGGAGGGGAGCAACTTCCCTCCCCTCCCCTCCGAAAACCCCGTACCAAACATAGCGTTAGGGTATGTTTGGCTCAATGAGAGAAAGGGGAGGGGAGGAATTTTAATGGAGGGAAGGGGAGGAGAGGGGAGTGGAAGGATTTTAATATTATCTTGTTTGAATTTATAAAAAAAGAGGGGAGGGGAGGGAAAAATATTTTAATATGGACAATTTTACTCTTATTTTATTTAAGGCGTGGGCATAATGGTCACAACATGACAAAATATGGGCATAATGATCATAATATGACAAAATATTGTCCTTTCCCTCCAAATCCTCCCAATTTTGGAGGGGAGGTTAAGAAGGGAAGGGGAGGGAAAATTTTAAAAATTTTTCCCTCCCCTCCTAAAATTTGTGTGTTGCCAAACAAGGGGAAATGATTAAAATCCCTCCCCTTCCCTCTCAAATCCCTCGTACCAAACACACCCTTAAGGGAGCATACGTACTACTATCTCCGGTTCTAAATATAAGACAAATTTTATAATATAAATTACATTACAAAATAGGTCTTATATTTAGAATCATAGGAGTATAGTAATTTGTTTGGTTTTTATTTTAGTCTTAGATATAATACCTCAATCCATTTTGTCTCTCTTATTTATCTATATTTTTTTAAGGCAGTTCTTGTAATAATGGTAGTTCTAACTTATACATTTGATTAGTAAAAATATTTTAAAAAATACAATACCTATTTATTATAAATAATTAATTTAACTGGTTTCCTTAATTTATTCAAATTAGTCGACTAATTTTTATAATAAGAACTGGTGGTAGCATTAGATTACAAGGCTAGTCGTATATCGGCTAGTTATATGTATACAAGCAATACATACGAGTACAAAATAGCCACTTTGAGAATTCAGACGCATGCACACACGCATCTACGTCCTTTATAATAAGTGATCTGCGCTAGTCTGCTAAAGCATGAGCATGGAGAAGTACTGCTCAAATTCCTCATCAATGGTTGGCGGCCTTGCGTTTGATTGAGCCTCTGAAATCAAACATGAACCCAGGATTTACTGACCAACAAATTTTGAAGAAACCCCTGTTTGGTCCCTCACAAACAGGTGCATGATTCTCTCCTCTTAATTATGTACCTCAATCATTCAAAAGCTTTCAATCGTGTCCTTTGGACAGCTTGCACAGAGCTCATGAGTGGGACATTATATTGCTCACTCAATTCAACGCTATGATCTCTTGTGCTTGTCATTTACTCCCTCGAATCCATAATGTAAGGTCCCATTTGAAATCATATTTATGAGCATTTGTAAGCATCTTTTATACAAGTTGTGACACAAACTCTTTTTACCTACTTCTTCCGATTTATTTTATAAGCAATAACTATCATCTCTTTCTTGTTTTTAAATATAAATAATATTTATAAGTTGTTTTAAATTTTTATAGTAAATTTTCTATTTTATTCTCATTAATTACTTATTTTAATACTCAACATATTTATTATCTTATTTCTCAAACCATCATCTTTCCATCACATATTCTCTCTCTTTCATTATAATAGTTTTCTTATTCTCTCTCCTATAAATAAGGGTATTTTAGAAAAAGAATTTTTAATTTCTACACATTTATTGTCTTTAACTAATTTTAAGTAACATTTTGATTTACGTGATAAGCTCCAATGTTACTTATAAAAAGGGATGGAAGGAGTATTTATTTTTTATTCTGTAAATCACAATTGAAAAGTTGCTTATATGCCATTCCAAATGGGTCCTAAGTTATGTTAAAAAAAAACCTTCCAACATATCAAAAAGGAAATTAAAAGATGAAAACTCTTTAAATTTGTTAAATAAAACAAGAGTCTCATTCCTTTTTAACACTACCCCTATTAGTGCATTAAATTTGATGCTTTATCTCTCACTTATTAATTCAATACAAGGACAAAAAAAGAAAAAAAAATCATTACTACGCCAAACATGACTTATAATTTGGAACGAGTGGAGAGAAAATGATTTTCCCTCCTTATATTCGGATAAATAAATAAGGGAAAACATATATATAAGAAAAAGTGGTTAATTTTTCGCTAACAATAATACTCATACGGAAAAGATGTGGGTCCTATGCTTCTTTTCCTCTGTTTTGGGGCAATTCTAAATAGTTTTCACTCTAAAATCTCTCCAAAGGTATTTTAATAGTTAGGGACTAAAAAGAAATGATCTCTGAAGGATGAAAAATGAAATACCATAAAGTTGACAACAAAACAGGTTTTCCCAAAAGCTTTTGTACCGAACACATTCCAGAGGAAAGCATACCTTGGTTCACATTCCATTTTCCAGATGACAGGATATACATGTTGGGAATCGCCCCATGAGTAGAGAAAACATCTTCAACTTCTTTTTCAATGGAATGCATATTGCCATCTCTCACATATTCCGAGTAAACATGATCTGAACAAATTCCTAAAGCCAGAGACTGCTCCTCAAGATTCATCAAAGCGTCACAGAATGGTTCTCTTTCACTTACTCTGTCCACTTCAAGAGGACCATGAGAAGGCCTCCCATGGAGGTATGGTTTAGCACAATCAATCTGAAGTTTCCCTTCTTCATTTACAGATATGGCAGTGTCCGAATCTTCACCGAAACTATTGCTGCCTCTGGATGATTTGGGTTCTGAAATATCATCAGACGTTGAACCATTTTCACAGGAGAATCTCCGAGCCCAGCATTTGTGCTTTTGTCTAGGCAAATCCAATTGCTCAGTCTGTAGTTTTCTTTTCTTATTCCATTCAACAATGTTGGTTTGTTGAAATCTGTCCAGATAGCATCTGAAGACCATGCATAACAAATATCAGAAGCCAAAAGAATTGACTTTTAAAGGTAGGACCTCCACAGAAAAGTTACAGCCAGCCGTGAGAGATGAAACATGAAGATGAGTTACCATGGGACATTTTGCCTGGGTTGATCCTTGTAGGATTCCTCTAAGAAGTACCAATACTGACACAGATATGAGACAAGACATACTATGGAAATCACAACATTGCTTTATATATAATGATCAGATGTAATTTGAAGTGTCATGTCGCAAAATATGGATTTCCTCCATGTGCTTCTGTCCTAGCCTGTTCGGATGCATTCAGAGTATACATACTCTGCATAGAACATGTGAGAATAGTCTTTGAAATGGGGACCTTTGAAAATTGTGAAGAGTTATACGTAGAGAGTACTAGTATTCTACATAAGCCTAAACAAAACAGGACAAAATGCAACTAGAGAGAAGCTGAGCTTCACAGAGTTCATCCATGTGTCAACCAAGATATGGCTACACTTCTGAAGTAGCAGTACTGCATATCCCTGTGTGATGCGCATGGTGGCTTCTGCTTAATTCCATGATCTTGGATCTAATATTGGAATCTAAAACCACTTTAAAAGTGTCTAATGAGACCATGTGTAGGATATAAAGCCCAGTTTGATTCAACTGTAACTAATATTTACATGAAAAATGGAAATAGAGCCTGTAAGTCTGCAAGTAGAATGTAGAAGCAACCAGTAAGATCACTATTTCTTCCAAAAAATGTCATCATGGTTTTCATGCCTAGGAATGCGTATATTATACAAATAGGACTTAATTAGAATAGCTGATGAATTTTAACATGCTACGAGGAACATTCAAAATTGCAACAATTCATCTGTGGACCTAATTTTTTATCACAACAAACCTAAAAGGGAAAGGAAATTCGTTTCCACAACAAAAGCAAATTTTCGTAAAACTTTCTACTTTAATGGTTGAACAATGAACACTTCAACTTTTCACAAGATAGAAACAAAATCCGCTGCAGTTATTGTCGCCAGATATCATGTGCTACAATGAAATCTATGCATCTCCCTTCCCCAGTTCAATAACTGAAACAATACCAAACCAATTTTCCTTATTTGGTTAAAAAATCAAGAAGATACTAAAACCACTTTGAATATGAACAAATACAGCAAATATCTTTAAGCTTAATTATATTATACGTTTAGTGTTTCTAGTTTAAATAACTCTGGTTCCTTAAAATTCATTTAACGCGACGTCAACCCTCAAGTTTTTGTATTTCAGAAATTGAAGTTAATAAGTGAAAAGAGAACTAGCTAAATTTCATAAAGACCAAAACAAAATATGTAGTTAACTTTTTTCCCTTTTCAAGCAACAGGAAGCTTCATGAATAAGATTGCTCAAGCGAGTAAACTTCATGAACAACATTGCCCCAATTGAAACCACTAAATAGCTTTGCTGTCTTACTAAATTAGTTAATACTTGATAGAACTTCGATGATTTACTGAAAGAAATGGTAAATCAATCAAATCCAGAAAAATAAGTAAGCTGGGCTTTTGATTTAGGAGACTTCAGAAGTTTTTCACTACTGATATACGGATCAAACCTGTTTGGATGCGACGAGTTCGCGTTCTCTTCTTCCATCTCCACCCAGAAGGATCGAAGAAAAGCTTGAGAGAGAAAGGAAGAGGGAGGGAGATAAGGATTAAAAGTATTGAAGAGAATATGGCATCTCGCATCTCACTGTCATCGGTCTGCGTCGCGCGTGCAGAACACACAGGCAGTCGCTTGCCAGTGGAATACTGGAATCACGAACACTAGACAACGCTTCGTTTCATTGAGTTCACATCGTCTACGGTAGAAGTAAATTGAGTCCACACATGACAATGAGAAAGGCATAAAAATATTAATCCAGTAAAAGCTGCATGATTAATCGCTCTCTTCATACGACAACACCTTTTCTGATTCCTTCTTCCCACAACTTTTGTTGTTAGGCGTGGGTGAATTTGTTAGAATTTTTATCATTAGACGTCGGTGAGTTATTATTGCAATTTGTTACGTACATGCGTTTTTAAGGAGCAAAAAGGCGCCTCAGCTTCAGATTGGAAGACAGAATTTTCACTTTCATTGATATCAAAATAAGAGTGTGATACAAATATATCATTATTCTATCAGCATACAGGAAAATTACAAATTCTAGAATACACACGATACAACTTTTCACAAAGGCCAGTCTTCAATATTTGCTTGACATGTCTTCGGAGAGCCTGGTTTTCATAACTTGTCATTGTACAGTGTCAACCACCAGAAGAACACCATGGTTGTAGCCCCACATCAACCAAAAACCTATTTTATGTCCACCAAGAGGAGGGAGAAACAAGGAAGAAAGAAGATATACTGCTGAAAATCAAAATATCCACAGGCATATTCATTCCACGGCCATGACCAGATGCACCAAACAGCTCTAAAAAACCAAAACCTCACCAACTGTGGGTGACTGACACATGAAAAGACTTTTGTCAGTTGGATTAGTGATAGCAGACTACTCAACCTCTGGGCTTTGTCATCACTCAACCAATCTTCACAGCTAGGGTTAGATGTGTATGCACTACAAATGACCACAACCAGGCGACACCATGACTTATTTCGATGCTGATGCACCCGGTGCGATGTCATAAGCAGTGTGGAATCGAAGTCCAGAACCTATATGGTTTGCTGTAGGCCATACCCAGCTGAGGATATTTGGTCCCAGAACCTGAAACAATATTAAACAAGAAACTTGAAATCATACCCAGTTATACACATTGATTGTTGAATTAATCTGGACTAAGTGAGAAAGAGCGCACTGCAGAGTCTTAACAGATACCCATGAAACAAATAGTGATATTCATCAACATGTTAATATGAGTTCCCTTGTATCAGTTGCAATTCAAAGACATACTCATTAAAAGCTAAATAATTAACTGAGGACCAAATAATCGCACTTTTAAGTCCCAAACAGGCAACCCTGTGCTGACACAATTAGCTTGAAGCATACATGGAGCTTGATACTTCAACGTGATACTTATACAAAGATGAAAGACGAACAGAGATGGTAATAAAACACAATTAACGATCCAATGGGGCCATAATTTTAACGTAATCTGCCCGCTGATGCTATCACATTTATATAAACAAAATGAACTGAAACAGCTTTATTGGCAACCATAAAAGTCATCACATTTAATGCATGCTCAGTAGACCCCAGGAGCACGTAAGTGTAAATGTCATCGCTTTATAACAACAGAAATAAGTAGCCGCACGGGGCATTATTACTATAGGATTTATAGCTGGACAGAAGGAACAGTAGCATGGTATTCAGTTCTTACAGTTGTCAAATTCTCGTATGGACCAAGGTCATACGGATGTTTATAAATATTGCCCCCCTTCTCAGCAAGCCACAAAGCTCTAACTCCATCATAATGCTGCCAACAAAAGTGCCAAACATGAAACAGTCCCTATTTGTTTGGTCAATAGAATTAATGCTTTGAACTAGAATTAGAATTCTTTAATAACCTCTATGGTAGTCTTGTTATGCAGGACGAGATAGATATGCCATCCTAAAAGTACACCCAAGGTTATAGATAAGGGAACCACCAGCATCCCCGAAATAACCTGTACGTAATCAAAATTCATTAGCAAAGATGCTAGCCAACTAAAACAAAATTCAACCATCTTATCTTTATGGGAAATTACATAAAAAGTTCTGTAAGAGCCACCATTTTGCTCTTCCTCCTTTAAACCATCATTAGCTAGACTACCCACGAGCAAGACCTAAAACATTTAAGGGAGAAGAATGGTTAATATAGGCAGAAACTGTGCAGGGAACATTATTACAGGGGAAAACAAAAGAGAACAGAAGGAGGGAATTGAATCAAGTGCCCAGGTAAAACAACTAGAGCTTAACACGGCACCCATGATTGTAATGGTATTAAAAATGCTGACAAGAAATCAAACTTACCAAGGAGTAAACGCAGGTAATAACTGCATACATGACAAATATGAAGAAGACCTTATAGTTTGCATGGCCTACACAGTTGTTTATCCAAATGCAATGGTGATCCTAACAATCAGATGGCGAAACTTTTATCATTATTTAGAAAATCTAAGATAAATTAGACTGAATGACATATCTGCATACCATGCGCAGAACACATCTTCTACAAACACGGCAATGATGAGCACGGGGAGGCTTATAATGAGAACACTTTTGGCAATATCTCAAATCCCCACCCTGCTTGTAATTCAAAGAAACAATACATAAATGGTAAGATTCATATTTCATACTGCTGAAAATGATCACACAAGTACCAGTTTATAGCAGTTCTTGTAGGCTCAGCGAAAAAATTTGAGTCATCCCTAGTTAATCTGATTATTTTCATTTATTATACATTCACTTAGAAACCCTAAAACTTGACTAAAAGAAATCCACGTTTCATGCAGTTCATATGTATTCAAAAAGTGCAACGCCGCAAGGGCTGCGCAGCAATGTGCTTGGCAACGTAGTGGACCGTTGACAACCATGCCATCCTCAGAAACCATTTTAAACCCCATTGTTGAGGTTATATGACTGAATCATGAGGCAGAAACGCTTTAATCAGTATTGACTACTAACAAAGCCCCCAACTTCATGGCTTTAATATAACCTTTTCTCTCCTTTGACTAGTGATTGGAGGAGAGACGGGATCCGAAGCAAGGGTATACAGAAACTCACTTATCAAGATGGCAAGATGCTTGTACAGGGTGAATAATTAATGCAAACTTAAGAAGCAAACCCTAAAGGCCTAAACCACACAGGCTGGAGAAAAATGGCACTGGAAGATTTAAACTGGCATAAGGATATCAAAATAACGTAGATTATTGGATAAACAGAATCTATCCATTCTATTCCTTTTATAGCATGGGGCTAAAACAGCTGAATTTCCACCACCACAACCAGTTAAGAGCTAGTGGGTTCTGTGCAGCAGGTTCCATCAAAACGTGCACATTTCCTAATGATATTGTCAAATCAACGATTACCAGGAATCTCATGATAAGCTGGCATCATAATTTATTCATTTATTTTCAAAAACGAAACGCTTGCTCTGTGGGGAGATCTGAGTTGATAGTTAACAACAAAGTTAGATCCCTAGCCAAACCAAAAAGAGAGAAATAATTTCACTTCCACCTTAAAGCTCATTATTTATTCAGGAGATTAATTATACAGCCCTAGCCAAACTAATGATACTGAAATAATTCTACTTCCATCTTAACAGTCACTGTTTCAGAAGATCAATTATTCAGGCCAAAAAAAAAGGTTGTTCTTTAAAGTTTTATATGCGGAAAGTGAGCGCAATTAATACATGATGATAATTATTTATTCATTACTCGTATAAAAACATGATCATGACTGTCGGTCCATCTTAGTTCTTAGGCCATAAACAAGAGATTAAAATGTATGAATATTTTGCACATAAACCAAAAACGCAAACATGATTAACCCATTATCCTAAATGCAGCGATTATGGAAGGCATTATACAATTTCGATGACAGTACCTCTTTGGTAACAGTGATTGGCAAAACATTTCTGATCTATTCATCCAGTCATTAGATGTGATATGAGGCCAATAGTTAAAGTTCAAATAGAATAATTCACAAGTACGGACCTTAAACGTCGAATTCACGAGTACAGATCGGAATGATTGCGAATCTGATATTTCAGAAACAAGGATAGAATAACTAACAACATAATGTCACACTTTCTGCTAGCTCACGGAGCAGTAATCATGAAATAAAGATTGCCAAAAAAAAACCCATAACGAAATCCAACTAATGCTCATCAAGGAGACTTCCAGCATCCAAAAAAGCAGAACCCGAAGAAACATATAAACTAGCAGGAAATGTAACCAAACAAATAGATAGAAAAATAAATTACCAAATCAAAATGACATAAACATGAATAGGCTGCCAAGACCAGACCTGGGTGGTTCTTCTCAAAGAAGCAAATTTGTCTCCGAACGTTGGAAAAACAAAAAACCCCAGAAAAGAGTATATCGTATTATTCCAAAAAGAAGCGATATTTAAAACAACACATACTCTGTACCTTTCGCTTGATCTCGTGAATAGGGCTTTCAACGTCTTCGATGTCTGGCATGTAGGCGGAGGGGACCCAACCCGGATCTGTTAATATAGCGGTAGCATAATTAAAGATACACATGATGGCTAACGCAGTGAAGACGATGGCGTTCATTATTCCCGGCGAAGAAGAGAGGCCGAACCACTTGTCAATGAAAACGAAGACAGTGGAAAGGTAAATGTAGGCGATGGTCAAAACGACGACGCTCACGGGGAGGGAGAACCTGCAGCGCCGTTTCATTTTCTCGGCCATGGTGGATCCGGCAGGGAGGTGGCGGTGGAGGCACCGGCGCCAAAACGACGGCGTCTCCAAGTGCAAAATTCAGGGAATGCACGAGAACCCAGAGTGGGGCAGGGTGACCGTGCAAGAAAATATATTGAGACGGTGCCGTTGTCTTTAGTTTAACTAAAGCACGGTTGCTATTTTGGGCTGATTCCTCTGTTTGTTGCTATTTTCACACCATAAATTAGAGTTATGGATAGAAATAAAAAAGGGATAATATTGGGAATTTTCAGATCAAATATGCAGGAGAAAAATGTTGGGAGCGAATATTGAATGGTTATAGGAGAGAATGATTTTAATTTGTTCTTACGTTTGAATTAAAAATAAAATAAACTTTCTGTTTGTGGTTTTACTAAGATTCCTTCAAGACCAAGTTATTGGTTTCATGCTTTGTGATGTTGGAGCTGACAATTCACCTGAAGAGACAATTGTACTTTACCAAATCATAACAAACTCCAGATGTGAAGAGTCATAAATTTAATGTGGAAAGGTGTTCATAATTATTAAATTGTACTCTTCTAATTTTTAATATAAGACATATTTAATAAATTTAATTTAATTAAAAAAGTTAGGTAACTTAGTTAATTATAAAAAATATGACATATTTTTTTAAAACACTATAATTATTTTTTTAATATCTTTCTCTCTCTCCTAATTGAGTATGGTTGAAGGAGTATTAATAAGAGTAATTTAAAAAAACTGATAAATATGAAGAAAAAAAAGTCTTACATTTAAAATTAAGATCAACTCAATAATTAAATACTATATTAAAGACCGAGAGAGTATATGTCAATCCAAAAGGTTTTATCATGAGTTATATTGTTGTTTTAGCTTAGTCTCTAGCGTGAGTCTTAATAATTTAATGATGCAAATATGAACATATGATAAGAAAAAATAATAAATTTTATAATTTTTTTTAAATGAAGATGTTAAGTTGATATAAAGATTATGCTTAATATAAAAACTAAATAAAATGTTTACTTTGGTATTATGGTCTTAATAAATATAATATTTTAATTCATTTTCACTTTCAAATTTATAATTTTTCCTAAGTATATATCCCTATTGATTGTAGATAGCAAGATAATTTATTACAAGTAATTATCATGCATATGGTTTGAAAATGTACTTTGAGAAAGACACATATTAGTTATAAAATAATTAATTTTATTAATTTATTTAAATTAGTTAAATAGTAATTCTTATATTACAAATGGGAGGAGGATGTAGTTTCAAGGATGGAGCTTTAGATTTCATCTTATAAAATATAGCGAGAAAGGGTTTGATTAGATTTGGGAAAAAGACAGAAAAATGCACTCTTAATTTCAGAAGCCCAAAAAGGTCCGCTGAATTCAACAAATCCCAGTTTGGTACCATGAGACCAAATTGGGATTATTATGTGAAAGGAAAAGACCAAATTGCCCTTCATTTTAAATATTACTTTTAAAATATCACAGCCCCTACTGGCCGGCCGGCCACCGGACCTCCGGCGACGGCGGTCACCGGAGCTCCGGCAACCAGCCGACAATTGGTCACCGGAGCTCCGTCGGTCGGAATTTTTTTTTTTGAAATTTTCACAACTTCAATATAACGGTTAACAACTTTTGTAATGCGATTAACAATTTCAATATAGCAATTAACAACAGCTTTTCTGGAAAATTCAACAAAGTCCGGCGACCGGAAACAATTTTTTTGAAAATTTTTACAACTTCAATATAACCGTTAACAACTTTTGTAACGCCATTAACAACTTCAATATAGCAATTAACAACAGGTTTTCTGAGAAATTCAATAAACTCCGGCGACCGGAAACAATTTTTTTGAAAATTTTTACAACTTCAATATAACGGTTAACAACTTTTATAATGCTATTAACAACTTTAATATAGCAATTAACAACAGCTTTTCTGGAAAATTCAACAAACTCCGGCGACCGGAAACAATTTTTTTGAAAATTTTTACAACTTTAATATAACGGTTAACAACTTTTGTAACCCTATTAACAACTTCAGTATAGCAGTTAACAACAATTTTTTTTTGAAAAATTATATAACTCAAAAACTTGTTGTTAACTGCTATACTGAAGTTGTTAATAGGGTTACAAAAGTTGTTAACCGCTATATTGAAGTTGTAAAAATTTTCAAAAAAATTATTTCCGGTCGCCGGAGTTTGTTGAATTTCCCAGAAAACTTGTTGTTAATTACTATATTGAAGTTGTTAATAGCATTATAAAAGTTGTTAACCGTTATATTGGAGTTGTAAAAATTTTCAACTTTAGTATAACGTTAACAGTTACGTTTTTTTGAAAATTTGTACAACTCCAATATAACGGTTAACAACTTTGATATAGCAGTTAACAACAAGTTTTTAAATTCAAAAAGTGGCATTTTTATAATTTCAGTAATGTCTTTAACAAACTCAAAAACCTGTTGTTAACCGCTATACTGAAGTTGTTAACCGCTATATTGAAGTTGTAAAAATTTTCAAAAAAATTATTTCCGGTCGTCGGAGTTTGTTGAATTTCCCAGAAAACTTGTTGTTAATTGCTATATTGAAGTTGTTAATAGCATTATAAAAGTTGTTAACCGTTATATTGAAGTTGTAAAAATTTTTAACTTCAGTATAATGTTAACAATTACGTTTTTTTGAAAATTTTTACAACTCCAATATAACGATTAACAACTTTGATATAGCAGTTAACAACAAGTTTTTAAATTCAAAAATTGGCATTTTTATAACTTCAGTAATGTCTTTAACAAACTCAAAAACCTGTTGTTAACCGCTATACTGAAGTTGTTAATAGGGTTACAGAAGTTGTTAACCGCTATATTGAAGTTGTAAAAATTTTCAAAAACATTATTTCCGGTCGCCGGAGTTTGTTGAATTTTCCAGAAAAGCTGTTGTTAATTGCTATATTGAAGTTGTTAATAGCATTATAAAAGTTGTTAACTGTTATATTGAAGTTGTAAAAATTTTCAAAAAAATTGTTTCCGGTCGCCGGAGTTTATTGAATTTCTCAGAAAACCTGTTGTTAATTGCTATATTGAAGTTGTTAATGGCGTTACAAAAATTGTTAACGGTTATATTGAAGTTGTAAAAATTTTCAAAAAAATTGTTTCCGGTCGCCGGACTTTGTTGAATTTTCCAGAAAAGCTGTTGTTAATTGCTATATTGAAGTTGTTAATCGCATTACAAAAGTTGTTAACCGTTATATTGAAGTTGTGAAAATTTCAAAAAAAAAAATTCCGACCGACGGAGCTCCGGTGACCAATTGTCGGCTGGTCGCCGGAGCTCCGGTGACCGCCGTCGCCGGAGGTCCGGTGGCCGGCCGGCCAGTAGGGGCTGTGATATTTTAAAAGTAATATTTAAAATGAAGGGCAATTTGGTCTTTTCCTTTCACATAATAATCCCAATTTGGTCTCATGGTACCAAACTGGGATTTGTTGAATTCAGCGGACCTTTTTGGGCTTCTGAAATTAAGAGTGCATTTTTCTGTCTTTTTCCCATTAGATTTTGTCTCAATACACACTTTTTTCAAGGGAGGGTTTAATTATTTCTTTGATTTACAACTTTGAGAGTTGATTGTTGTCTCACTGTGCAAGTCATAATTGCCCATTTGTAAATAAATAAATATGCTTGCTTCTTACCCAAAAAAAATATTATGCTTTTTCTAATTATTCTTTTGTCCTTAATTGATTTACATTTTATCAAACAATCATTACCCATATTTTATCTTATTCTTATTATCTATATCACTTGAGTTAATCCTAAGTGGCAAATTAGTCACAATATTCATATAGCATGTGAATACTACATCTTGTCATAGATTTTATATTGTATATTGAGATAATGATGATAATATTAATGAAATTATTATCAAACTTTAAAAAACAATTATAAATTACTTAAAAATAAATAAAGAGACAACGGATGGAGAATCAAACAATCGAACAAATAATACCATAACTGGAGTAATTAATGAAGCACGTGACCATCTTCTTGTTCCTACTATACATGTCCCTTTACACACTAACTGGAGTAAATAATGAATCTGATGTGTTAGATTATAGTCTTCTGATTCTAAATATAAGATTCTTATACACACTAGTATAAGGGTCTTATATTTAAGACGGGAAGAGTAAATTGATATCAAGATATTGAACAAATAAAAATAAAATTTTATTTAATTTTTTAAATTTAATTAACATCAACAATATGTTAAACATGCGCTTAAGTCACAAATTAAAGTCACCATGCTTGACAAAAAATAACAATTAATCTGTAGAAATTGCAGATGCTATGGATTAATTGGTGTTACAATATTTTAATACAATTTACATTCGCAAAATCTGTTTTATTTTTTTGGATAATCCATTTTTTGTAGTATACTAAGAAATTAAGAGAGTGAAGAAAATTCACTTGAGACATAAAAGGAAATTCTCCATTTTAATATTCCAAAATTGACAGGCTACCCTCTATCACGTTCAACATCGATTTAATTGAATAGTGAACCCTACACAAAATAAATTCTCAGTCTATGCCATTTCTCATCTCACAAGCCAGAATGGTAACCAAATAATAAAATAGAAAAAATCACAAATATTTCAAAGGCAAAAAATATATAGAGAAAAATATGATCAACGGCGCCAATTCGGTCCTAACACTTCGGAAGATCGGACGGTGGAGGAGGCAACTTATGATTGCGTTGCTTCCCGTCTTGGACAATCCAAGCCATTTTCAACCCCCAACTCGTGTGTACTTCAAGGTGGCAATGCATGAACCAGACACCTGCAATATTTAGATTAAATTTAATTTAATTAGAAGCAATTAAAATTTAAATCAATCATGAATGATTTAAGAGATATTTGAGGATAATTTTACTCAATTTTATATGAAGTCAGACTCACCAGGATTGTCCGCAAGAAATCGGAGAGCAACCCAACCTCCGGCGGGTACACCAGCAGTGTTCCTCTCCATCGGGTCAACCAGATTGAAGTTCTTCGGATCCTTTTTCGGGTTGAAGTTTCCGTTTCCTTGACCCACAATGAAGAAGTTGAATCCATGAAGGTGAAGCGGGTGGCTCTCTGCTCCAATGATGCTCGTATCTTGCAGAACCAACTCAACACTTGCGTTGTATGGCAAAACCACCACCTTCGTTCCGCTCGCCGCCATGATATTGTTGGGTGCGGTTCCTGTATAGTTGAACTTAACCGGTGGGTTCGCCGGAAAATCAGTCGTGAATACTCCTTTTGATTTGTTGAAGAAGTGGGCTTGAAGCAAGGCCGTGCTTGGCATCACGAATGAAACATTGTTAATTGAAGCTGCTACTCTGGTATTATTTGGACAATTCTGGTTCTTTGAGCAAGGCAAAATCCCTAATCCCACGGTGAAGAAGAAGCGTCTATCAACTGTTTTTGGTACTTTCGCCGGGAATTTCGCACTGTTCAAGCTGCGAACCTTCTTGTTGAACTTCATTGCGAAGACGGTGTCGTTGAATTTGGGAAGCACGGGTCTGAGCAGAGGAAGCTTAGTGTTGGATTTCGAGAGTGAATGTTTGGTTTTGTATTCGAGTAAGCCTGTGGTGGTGGTGTTGTCGAAGGCCGCCGGACCGGTGGCGTAAGGCCTCGCGGCGATGACGAAGGACCCGTTTGGGTGTTTAGATTTGGCAGTGAGAAGGACGTTGGTGGTTTGGCCTGGTGTGATTAACACAATATTGGTCTTGAAAGGCTTCACGTACACAGCATCAGCTTCCACCACAGTGAGCGTGTGGTTGGCTATGCTGAAGAACATCTCATCATTCAGTGCAGCATTGATCAGACGTAGCAGGTAAGTTTTCCCAGGCTTCACCTTCAGCTTAAACGTATCTGCATCGTCAAAACACAAATTCATTACTCATCTTGGTCACAGATAGAGACATGTAGGAATCAGATAAAGTTGGACCATCTGGTTATTTTGTGTTCTGGGTTATTACCTTTGGCTGAGCAGTTGTAGAGAGGACCTGGAAGTCCATTGATGGTGTGAGCATCAGAGATATTAGGAGGTGAACCTGTTTTCATTGCTTGGTTGATCACAGTTTCTGTGTCTGCTTTCCACCAGTCCCCTGTAAATAGAGGTGATTCTCAGGTTAATAGAAGTTAAGTTAGTAATTTGGATAGAGTCTGAGGGTTTTGTAAAGCAAATACCCAATACGATGGGGACTTCCTTGAAAGGATGAGGAAAAGGGTAAGAGTCGTGTCTTTTGGGAAGAATGACAATAGGACCATGAAGAGTCACTCTTAGCCATGAAATATGAGCATGCCACCACAATGTCCCTCTCTGGCCTGTCACAGTGAAGTTGTATACATAAGTTTGCCCTGTTTGGATTGGACACTGTGTGATATATGCGGGCCCATCTGCCCATCCACTCCTCAGTTGGCGAACTCCGTGCCTGAAAATTTGATCCAAATCATAACAGAGTTATTACACAATAACTCACAGTGATTTACAGATTTCAAACGTGGAGTTTTCCTGCAGAATACCAATGGATGGAGACATTGTATGGAACATGGTTCACCACTTTAATCACAAGCCTATCTCCTTCTCTTGTTATGATTCTAGGTCCGGGATATTGCCCATTCACAGTCACAATACTCTTTGTTTTGCAAAGCCTTGTGACGTTTTGCATTTTGATCTGCAGAACAGAAGATAACTTAGTTGGGGGGGGGGGGAGATGTCTAGAAACTAGTGAAGAACTAAAAATGCAGAACACTTACGTTAAACTTGTAGTGCCTGGTAAATCTAACATGTTTTGCCAGAGTCATCTGAGGCAGTATCCACAGAGCACAGAACACAAGGAAAGTGGCCTTTAAGAGACTGCCTGAAAGAAGATAAGCAGAACCCATGTTTCCTTTTCTGTTAATGAATCTTCTTGTGAAGTTCAAAAACTGAAGAATTTGGATGATGAAAACAGAGGAAAAAGATGGAGCTTATATAGTAGGAAAAGGAAATGGTGGGTTTGGATAAATTAGGTGATTGAAAACGAGATATTGCAGATTGAGAATGTTTTCATTAACTAATCCCATCTTTGTATCTGGCAAGGTTCCGACTTTAGAGTACAGAAGGCCAAAGAGTAATGTTTAAGCCATATTATATTCCTTGGACTAAACACACGAATGTTTCCAAATATGCCCTTACAAGTTAGGGACAAATAATGAAAGTGTTGAGGGTAGTTTATTGGGAATTTTGATTTGAGGAGAGAAAGGGATGGATTATCTCACAAAGAGGCGTTGCAAGGTAAGCCTCAGCCTCCTACCGTTAAAGACTTGATAATCAAGGCAAAGAAGGAAAGGAAAAAAAGGGGATATAATGTTTTACAACCACATCGTTTTTGTTAGCTGTGTCGGTTGTTAATTTTTTTTTAGGGTCTAACAGCTTCTGATGTTACTGTCTGTCCCTGACAAAAATCCTCACTTCTATTGGTCTCAATGTATAAATCCGTTAATTTGCATCACTTGGAAAATCCTAGTGTTATATATCTCTTTTGATTATGTCTTATTGTCTCATTCTAGTTTTTCCGTTTTCTTCATGTCAAATAAATAGTACATAGCCAATTCATAAGAGCTGGAGTGGTTACCTACTAGTTGATTCAATTTTGTGTCGGCATCAAATATATTCATTTCCTAATTGGATGAGCTCTAACCCAATTTAAAGTTTATTGTGACAGTCATTCGTTAAAATTCGTTAAAATTAGGTAAGGCTTGTTAAAAAATATGCCAAAATTGGAAACATATACCTGAGTTTTTTTTTTAATATTCAAATTTATTTTATCCCGACGTTTTATACCCTCATAAAAAAAGTGCAAATAAATAATATTTAATGAAACTTTTTAAATATATTTATTCCATAATGGAATCAAACGTGATGAGTTTAAGTTGGGTTTAAAAAAGTTTGAACACGACCAATTATTTTTTTCAACATAAATTTTTATTTTTGCTTGATTTATGATTAAATTTAAGAACAGCCCAAAAAATGGGATGTCAAAAAGAAAATCCCAAACAAGTCGATTAATTATGGATGAGAATGTGTGATGTTGGTTAGACTTGACTACAGGTTTAATCTCTGGCCAGACAAAAAGGAAAAAAAAAAGATTACAGGTTTAATCTCACCTAAAACAATGTGCAAAAATTAGGTTGCAAGAAAGTTGATAAAAATGAAAAAAAAACAGGAAAAGATAAATATCAAAAAATTCAAACAATTAAACAAATTGTAATGTCACTGTAACAATGGTCAACATAAACTGTGATGACCGGTTGGAAACTAAGCAAGCAAGCTTGTAAAGTAATTTTCTTGACCAAAGCTTGAAAAGTAATTAAACTCTTTGAGAAGTACTCACCTCATTATTAACGTTTGAAATACTCCTTAATAAGTTATTGGATAAAAATTTCCCATAAATAATTTTCCCTTGTGGAGATTTCTTTATTATCTTGGATAACATCATGTTTATCTAATATATAATTATATATACATAAATACATTTTAGATTTTGGTGTCATGGTTCAATCCTATAATTCAACTTCACATTCCCCACGACCGATGCTGCATAAATTGCAACTCAATCTTCATCGATCATCTCATCTATCTATTTAATTATTTAAATGGTTAAAAGTATAAAATCTGTAGTAAATTGCCTTCAAAAGTATAATAAAAATATACAATGAACCCGAACATATTTAATTTTTACTCTCTTTAGCTCCCTTACTTTGAAAATATTTCACCTCCTGACTTAAAAAAAATCAAAATTCAAGAATTTTCTTCCTGATCTGCTATTCTTGAAACTGCTGAATATGTGCCAATTACAGAGCACACTGCCCCCACAAGGATAATAAACACGCAGCTTGCCACCTATAAATAAACGCATCACAATAACATTGATTTCCTTCAAACTCTTAAATTCAAAATAGAACAAAACTATATATATACACACACATACATATTACTTCTGGTTCTTAATATAATAACTAGTTTGACTTTTATTTTGATCCTAAATATGAGAGCACAATTTACTTTTTCTCTAATATTTATCAACTTTTTCTCAAGATAGTCCTTATTGCAATGGTAATTTTAGTTAATACACTTGATTAGTGAGAATATTTTAGAAAAGACAACACCTATTTATTATAAATAACTAACTTAACTAATTTTTTTAACTTACTCAAATTGATTAGCTAGCTTTTCTATTAAGAATTGGAAGTAGTATATGTGTGTGTGTGTGTGTGTGTGTGTGTTGGTAGAAGAAAACAGTTTTAGAGTTTAGACTCAAAACTGTTTAATATAACGATAGAGAAAGAAGATAAAAGAGTTGACTTCCCACCTCTACTTTTGACAATCTGCCATGATGTAGCTTGAGATAACATGCACACGGGTATATAAGTGCCTGTCACAAACATAGAGATTTATAACCCATTACTTGCAAATAATTAAAGATAATCCTATCAAATTAAGATCAATATTATTTGTGTAGGAAGCAGAGAACTTACAATTAGCATTGCCATTGAAGAGCCCATAAATGCCATGATAGACCCTGCAGTAAAAAAGAATGAAATTTTGAAACTTGGCATACTCTGGAGGACGGGTTATGAGTTTATCTTTTAAAGATCTTTCAAATTAATAAAAAGAAATCAATAGATAAAGTGATACATATAATATATTAAGTTGATCCTCAGATGAAGGTGGGACAATACTTACCGAAAAAAGGAATAGAAAGGGCGAAAACCAAGTTTGAAAAAACTAAAACTGTTCTGATAAGAACAGACATAGAGTAGCATCTTAGCTGAGCAGAAGGCAAGAGTTCCTCTATGCTCAGTGCAACAGGCATCAAAGTGATGGCATACTTTGTCAAAGGGTTCACAACCTATATATAATTAACACGCCCGTAGGAATCCTTGTCAGAACTTGTCCTTTAAGAATATATATATATATATATATAAATTAAGGGGAAATTACATTCAGTGACCCTCTGATGAACTGTTAATCCTATTAATTATAATATGATTCTTGTCAAAATTTGATATAGAATAGTCCAAGACAACCAAGACTCTTTAATTAGTTAGATATTCAATGTATTGACTGGTAGTGGCGTAAGATTAGATTAGAGAGAAATGGAAGATGAACTAACAAAGGAAAATTCATTCTCTGATTCACGAGGAAAGAGGCTGTGTTCAATTCAATTAGAAGAAAATATAGTGTTCAACACTTAAGCATTAGGTTTCAAACACTATTTCCTTCTAACTTAGTTATTGCAACGAAGCAAATATATAAGAGAGTCATTGCAATTAGAGGCAAACGTCAAGGTCGATAATTGCTATTTCCCCTAAAAGTAATGGGGATTTGATTATCTTACAGTTGTCCAGGCTGCAATATTTGATGCATACAATTCTTTGGGCATGCTTAAAGTAAACTGAGATTTGATAGAATCACCAAACGTTAAATAGCCCAATGCCGCAACTCCTATGTATATAACAAAACAAAAGCCAAAGCTGCAGAAAGAGAAGGCATGTCAGAATCTAACAACCCCAAAGAACAACATTCTAATACTGGTTCTATTTATTACCTGACTGCTAGAACAACTGAAAATTTTGACGGTTCCTTCATGGAAGAGTATATGTTTGGAAAAACTGAGTGGCCTGCAAAGCAAAAACCATAGAGACCAATTGAGACTGGTATATTGGCAAGGTTTATAGCCTTTCCACCAGGATGAAATCCAACTTTGTCTGTCACTCCAACCCATAGCAAGCAAGAAGTCACCAATATCGATGCAGCTATCCCTCCAACTGAACATCATTAATTAGCGGTGAGCTGTTAACCTTTAATTTTAAGGAAGAACTAGTTAAAGAAAAAGGTACGAGGCTAAGAAACCTGACAGAAACGACAGGAGTTTAAGGTTTCGTAAGCATATTGTTGGCAGAACACAAAGAGCTGATGCGATGGTGAAAACTTGATTACTGCTCAAATTAATCCCGGCAAATTTCATGTGGGCGTCGGGAAAAAGTGACGAGAGGTTATCACTCATTAGTATTATCAACTCAACACAAGCAGCCTGCAAACCAAGAGCTATTTACCTTTCAGTACACGCGAGAATCAGTGGAGCAAAACAATATAGAAGATGGCTTATTAGAGGAATAAATTCTCGCACTTACATATAGTTCCATGTACAAAATTAGCTGCATTTGTAGCAGAGATATAGTCGTCAGTTTTCCTTCCAAATAACATGTTATACTCACACGCACACAAACACATGTTGCAGCAACAATGCAAACCTAGCTATAAGCACTCAGTCAAGATCCTCATGATGCCTTTGTCTTGTTTTCTTGCACCGTATATAGCTCTTTGGCTTAAATATATCATACATATACCTAGCTAACTAAATGCATATCAAATTATCACCAAGTTTTAAAAAGCAAAAATGGCGCCTAAAGAGTTTTGTTTCAAAATTCAAACAGCCAATCAAGTAATGTTGAGCATTATCCAAAAATTTTCCCAAAGAGAATAAGCTCATGAGCAATCTTATTGTAGTCTCATTAAGATATTGTCTACTGACCGCAATCCCTAGGCGACCAGCTATTCCAAAAGCTGCCTGCCCTATATCCGGGTAGGTATGGAGACCAGGAGAGCTTTCTAAACATCTCTTCAACAAAATACCAGTATAGCAGCATAAGACAGCAAACAAGAAAAGTATTAGAAGACTTAACCATCCACCTTCTTTTACCGCATAAGGTGTTGTAAGAAGTCCTATTCCACACAGTACATTGGCTCCTTCACACGCAACCGGCAAAAAGGAAGAAGAAGAAGCTATCTATAAGTTATATGCATGTCAGAGATAACAAGAAAATTGTGCGCCAGACCTCGGCTTTTTCTGCACAAGGAAGATGATAATTACCATTAAGGATTGACTGTGCTAATGAAGATTGCTCTAAAGGAGGTGGAAATTCACAACTAGAAAATTTAGAGCAGCTAGATAGTCGAGACATCCTGCGGTTACTGAAGCTAGGCTCCTCTTGTATCAATGAGATTGTTTCAGGAATGAAGGCTGTGTTTAAATCAGAATCATCATTCCGATGCCTCTTGGATGGTGCAGTACAAGAAGTAACTGATCGACTTGATATACTTAATTGCCTTAGCAAACTCATTGAAGGTGGTGTTACACTGGTCAACATGTCCATAGATTGCCTGCAAAAATATTCGACAGATCAGGGTTTCCGTCTTGATTCTGAGATTTTTAACCATCATTAGTTTCAAAACACCTTCCAGCATAAAACCTTTTGGCCTAAGAAGTCCTTATATATTTCATGCTGATACTAGACGTGCGATAATAAATGAAACTACCGATAGGTTTGAGGCCACGCGGGACTGCCGACGTCGTCGTCAATGTCGTTGGAAAAATTAGGTTCAGAACTTTCTGAATCGGTCTCCGAGCTTAAATGTTCGAAAACCCTATCCGCTAGGTTTTCTTCATCATCAGTCTGGAACTCAACCTCACGATCAGGACCCAAATCATCTTCGTCTATCTTCATCCTCATACTAAAATCAACGTACGTCAGCTGTTCTTTACAGAAACCTAAGAGGAAAAGGAAAAAGAGAAGACAAGAAAAGAAAAAGAAAGATCACGTCTTTTGGATTAATCCAAAGATAAATGTGGATATATTATTAACTTTGGCATCAGTAAACTGTTATTTGGTATTCAAAAGGGTTGCTGGAAACCGAGTTCATCGGAACTAACTGAACATCCGTTAGTAAGTCATTTTTGTTAATTAATTTTCTCTTCAATATTTTCGACCAAAAGACTTACCATTAATAGAAAAGAAATTCCTCGTAGGGCAATCAAATTTAACTTCGGTATGAGGTATCAAACTCACGCATGAATGCAAGAATGGCTCAGCAATTTAATAAATAGCTCATGCTAAATCCCATAGAATTCGAGAAAATTATTCAGTTAACAGATATTATTATATTTGTTGGCAAAACAAAAAAGGCATTATCATGTTTTCTTAAAAAAGCTATATCTTTGCTTTGCATTTAATAAATTAAATTTGGCTCAAACATAATTACATTTAAACTCTTTTAGAATTATAAAAGCGAATGTGGATCCATGTTGCACAGGTAACATGAGAGAGACGACCAAGTCATATTGTTGATGATAACTTGTTATATATAGATTTTTCATCTGATCCCCTCCAATCACGTCTCAGCATTTCCTTAATTTCGGTGATCAGGCAAAAGTCGTCGTGAAGATCCGAGGGTTCATTGCTTATAAGGGCCAACACCATTTGTGAGTTGCATCGGAGGAGAACATTGCTGAGTCCATTATCCTAAGCTCTTCTGAATCCCATTAAACAGCCCCACAACTCGACAGTGAGTTCATCACCTGATTCGAACTTTAGTTGAAAGCCTTCAAAGACTCTGCCCTCCTTATCTCTTAGAACGCCACCACAAGCAGCATTTCGGCTTCAGTATGAGAATGCCCCATCGACTTCAATTGAAGCCTCAAACTCCTTTGAACCCAGGTTATCAACATTGTTATTCATCCTGACTCCGTGAAGGTTGACAATAGAGAGCTTCTTCTGTGCATTCGCCATGCTCCCCAAGATGGCAGTAGCTCGGCCATAGATGCCATGGATGTTAGACTCACCGTTCGTGCGTACACTTTTATTTCTGTCATGCCATAGGTGCCAGCATATGATGATAAACAAACCCTTCCAATAGCAAGATTTGTCACTAACCTTTCTCGCCATGTTAAAGTGAATCCAATCTTGTAAGTCACTGGAGAAGAACCTGTTGTGGGAAGGTGTAATGAGCGCCTCCCACATTTTCTTGACATCGACAAAGTCTCTCATTGCATGAAGGGTATCTTCGGGGAATTGTTTGCATCGATCACATATACCCGTAGGATGGAGATTAATGCGCTTCTTCAAGTGATTTGTGATAAGACGATCATGCATCAGGATCCATGCAAAGCTTTTACAGCGTTGAGGAATTTTGAGCTTCCACATCTCCATCCATCTAACTGATGAGCTGTCACGCTATGGATTTAATGACCAGTAGGCATAACGAATAGTTAACTCGCCCCTTTTTTCCCACTTCCATTTGACACGCACGTCACCATTACCTTCCCGAATCTGTTGAATACCATCTACAACCTCCTTTCAATTTCTTTTAATGCCATTCCATGCATTTGAGCTCGGTTTGCGGGGGTTTATTTGTGGCAGAAGGTCATTTCTGCACCCATACTTCCCTCTAATGACCTGAGCCCACAACGACTGGCGATCCTTGACAAGTCCCCAGCCCAACTTCATCATAAACACATGATTCTGTTGTTTCAAGTGTCTCATACCCAAACCGCCAAACCTTTTCTCACAACACACTTTGTCCCAAGAGATGGAGTGGATCTTCCTTGTTTCGTCGGCAGAGCCCCACAGAAAATTACGAGCTCTCTTCTCTATATTATCACAAGTGTGGGTTGGAATGTTTGCCGTCTGCATAGAATATGTCAGCATAGCAGTGATAACAGCCTTGACCAAGGTATCACGGCTTGCAAAGGGTACATGCGACGTATTCTAGGTGCTTAATTTGTTTTGGACTTTATCAAGGACGAATTGGTAGGTCTCTGAGGTAACTCTTTCATGGTGCAGAGGGGCCCCTAAATATCTACCAAGGTTGGTCGTTCTAGAGAAACCCAACACTTCACTCATTTGTGAACATCAGGTATGATTGATGTTACTAGAAAAGAACACTCTAGTTTTGCTCATACTGACTCTTTGTCCTGATGCCTTGCAAAAATTGTTGAGAACACGCTTGACGACCTCAATTTGCTCCATATTAGCTTATGCAAACAACAACAGGTCATCAGCAAAAAACAAATGAGAGATAGGAGAGCCTTCCTTACCTAGTCGTATTGGTTTCCAGCTTTTTGCATCAACCTCTTCTTGGATCAAATGTGCTAGTTTTTCCATGCATAACATAGAGGTATGGGGAAATCGGATCCCCTTGTCGTAAACCTTTGGAGGGAGTGAACTCATCTGCCTTGCTCCCTTCCCAAAGTATCTACATGGAGGAGGTTGATATGCAAGCTCTAATGACTTCTCGTAGCCTGTGCGGTATATTGAGCTCAGTGAGGCAATCCATGACAAAGTTCCAACGGACATGGTCATAAGCCTTTTCTAAGACAATTTTGATCGCCATGAAACCTTTCTTCCATTGCATGTTCTTCATAGGGTGTATAACTTCTTGGGCGACAATAATATTATCAGCACTCATTTGGCCAGGAACAAAGTTGCATTGGTTGCGGGGAAACCACCTGCAGTAGGAAGCATTTTATACAGTTAGCTATAACTTTCGTGATAGTCTTATAAACCACATTACAATGACTTATATAGGGTGAAAATCACGAATAAACTTAGGATACTCCCTCTTAGGAATCAGTACTATGAAGGTGTTGTTGAGGCTTCGGATGGCCTCCGGCTCTTCAAAGGCCGTTCTGACTGTCTTAATAATAGAAGGACCAATTGTCTCCCATTGGCTTTGGAGAAATAAGGCATTCAGTCCATCAGGGCCTGGGGATTTAAGCGCACCCATGCTGAACACTGCTACCTTGATTTCCTCGTTTGTGACCGCCTTCGAGATATCTGTCAAAAGAGACTCCTCTATAGCTGGAAATGAGGAGCACAATAGCGTGGAGTGAGCGACCTGGTCATCATTACTGAACAAATCGATAAAGAAACTGGTGGCGATCTTTTTTTATCTTCTGAATGTCATCCGTCCAATCCCCTCTCTCATTTTTGATGGCTTCAATTTTGTTCTTTTTTTTTCTGACCGTTAGCTCTAGCATGGAAATACTTAGAATTTCTATCACCCATTGTGTACCAATTGCATTTTGCCTTTTGAGCCCAAAGAAGTTCTTCTCGAATAAGAATTTCTTCCAGTTCGAGCCACAATTTCTTTTGGATTTGGTCCACAAAGGAAGAGTGATTCTGGTGACCATAGATCTTGGAGATGCCATCTAGTTGCCCCATAATTCGACTCTTCTGTTTACCAAGATGGCCAAAGACGTTATAGCTCCACAACCCGACTTCGTCAGTGAAGGTTTTAACATTTTCCAACCAGTGCGCCTTGGCTTCCCATGCAGCTTTGACCATCCTGGAGAAATCCTCATGCAGACACCACAAGGCTGCCACCCGGAAAGGCCGTTCTTGTTTGGTCTTTGGTTGATATAGGGTCGTATTCAATAGTACCGGCCTGTGATCTGATTTAAACCACGGAAGGTTTTTTACCGAGGCGTCACTAAAAACTTCTTTGAATTGCACAACTGATGACAATAGTATAAGAAGAAAATTTTATCTTTGAAAAGAATATTTGTAACAAAAAAGGTGAACTTCATTAAAATAAAATAAAATATTATTAGATACATTCGAACTACTTAATATAGTTAATTTAATAAAAAATGAGTTATAATATTAAAATACTGTATTCAGCTCATCACTTGAGAAGAATGGAGCTCCTGTATCTCAGGATTCGCTTTTTTAATAGAATTTTTATAAATAAATAAACAAATAAAATGAGATACATGATATATAATTTCTATTATTTTTATTTGATAAAATCTAAATAATTTTTTAATATTTTAAATGATCAAAGTTTTTTATCCTATTTATTTGATTATTTCTGTATTTCCAAACTAGTTGGTAAAATAATGGCGCTTTTCAAAGGCGAGGTGCGTTCGTGGGCCGTAGCTTGACTTTGGAGTGTTGGCACTAGGGATCCCATGCATCATCCGCTAGATGTCAGTTTAGGGTTTACTTCTACGTAAGGGTACTGGCACTCTTTAAGATGTTTCAACGTCAAAATGAGTTATAACTAATCAAATCATATACTGGATCAAAATGAGTAATAAATATTCAAGTGATATAACTTTCTTCGAAATATGCCGTCATTTAGGGAGTGGTTGGTAACACTTGAAAGCATTTTTTAAAAGTATTTTTAAGTAAGTCGAGACAAAACTCTTCTTATATACTTGCTTCATAAACCGTAAAATCATTTTTAAAATCATATAATAGTTTTTACAAATACCCCTTATAAAGAGAATAGGCGAGAGAGAACAAGAAAAAAAATTGAGAAAATATGTAATAATTTGTTGAATGAAATAGAATGAGTCATAATTAGTATACAATTATATATTTAATAGGAAAATCCGGTAAAAAGTAACTGTTTGCAAATTTTATTTTATTGGTTAAAAAAGCCTTAATTTGAGAGGGTGCAACTTTTATCTAACTGTGTATAATATTGTATAATATATATTTAATTATGTGCAAAAGTCATTTAAACAGAAATTATTTGCACACAATTGAATATATATTATATACAGCTGAAGAAAAGTTACACAATAATTACATCACCTTGCATTTATGTTTTTTTCAGTCAATAAAATCTCCAGGGAGGTACTTATTACCAATTTCTCTATTTAAAATGGGGTAAGAATGAGAAGAGAAAATTAAATTTGCAGCCAAAAAAAAAAGTGTGACTTGTATATACATGAGCAGTCCTAGGGAGTGTAAATATGAATTCTAGAAAGAGTCATATCTAATCTAAAGTGGCAATTTTGCTCCGGATAATGACAACGTGATTACCAAATATCTTGTTCAGTCACACTCCAAAAAGCCAACCATTCACGGCAACCGAAGCCAGCCCACTTGTCGTGCCCTTGAAAGGCCGTCGATAAAAAGGACAAACTGTAATTGTTATATGTATAATATTTAATGATCATACGTACAGTAGAGGGGATAATTAGCAGAGGTTTGAGAGAAAGCTATGTTTTTGAAGCTTTTTATGGCTTTGGTGCTTTTGTTGGTAACAACAATGGTACAAGTGAGTGGTGCAGATACAAGTTTCATCTTTAATTATGGCTTCCCATCTGCTAATTTAACCATGGATGGTATCTCTATCATCACTCCCAATGGCCTTCTCCAACTCACCAATGAAACTAGGACGCAAACGGGTCATGCTTTTTACTCCAATCCAGTAGTTTTCACAAACACTTCTTCTTTCTCTACTACTTTTGTTTTCGCCATTAGACCTCAGTATCCAACTCTGGGTGGTCCTGGGATGGCTTTTGTGATCTCTCCAAAAAATGCTTTTCCATATGCTCTCCCCAACCAGTACCTCGGCCTCTTCAACGGAACCAACAATGGCGACCCCAAAAACCACGTGCTCGCTGTAGAATTCGACACCGTCCAGAACATTGTGTTCGGGGATATCAATGATAACCATGTTGGGATCAATATCAACGGTTTGAATTCCACAAAAGCTGCTCCTGCTGGATATAAAGTAAATAGGTTTCAATCTCAAAATTTGAGCCTCAAGAGTGGCTTGCCGATGCAGGTGTGGGTGGACTACGATGGAGGCAAGAGGCAAATAAGTGTCACCCTAGCTCCAATCAATGTTAACAAGCCCGAAACACCATTGTTAACATTGTCCCGAGATCTTTCTCAGGTTCTAACCAATCCTAGTTATGTCGGATTCTCATCTTCTAACAGCGTGCTGACAGCTTTTCATTATGTTCTTGGTTGGAGTTTCCAGGTCAATGGCGAGGCTCAAAAGCTTGACACCTCCAGACTCCCAAAACTCCCACGACTTGGAGGGAACAAACAATCAATGATTTTGCCGATTGGGATACCCCTCCTTTCACTCTGTTTGATTCTTCTTGTTTGCTTATCCGTAGTTTATTACATATACAGGAAAAGGAAATTTTCTGAGGTTGTCGAGGAGTGGGAACAAGACTATGGTCCTCACAGGTTCAAATACAAAGATCTCTATGTTGCCACAAAGGGATTCAGAGAGAAAGAGCTTCTTGGCAGTGGTGGTTTTGGCAGCGTCTACAAAGGGACTATGCCAGGTTCAAAAATTGAGGTTGCCGTGAAGAAAATATCCCATGAATCCCGACAAGGGATGAGGGAATTTATAGCAGAAATCTTGAGCATCGGTCGTCTACGCCATCGAAACCTCGTGTCTCTTTTGGGATATTGTAGGCGAAAAGGTGAGCTTCTTTTGGTTTATGATTTCATGCCGAATGGAAGCTTAGATAAATACCTTCACAACCAACCCAGAGTGATGCTAAATTGGATGCAAAGATTCAGAATCATCAAAGGCGTAGCTTCAGGACTGTGTTATCTGCATGAAGAGTGGGAGCAAGTTGTGGTTCACAGAGACATAAAAGCAAGCAATGTATTGCTAGATTCTGAGTTTAATGGAAGGTTAGGAGATTTTGGTCTGGCAAGGTTATACGATCATGGGAGTGATCCTGCAACTACGCATGTTGTCGGGACCTTGGGATATCTAGCACCGGAGAACACAAGAACAGGGAAAGCCACAACAAGGTCTGATGTTTTTGCTTTTGGAGCTTTTTTGCTGGAGGTTGCATGTGGAAAAAGGCCCATAGAGCGAAGAAGAGAAGAGTATATTTTGGTGGATTGGGTTTATGTGTTATGGAAGAGGGGTGAGATTAATGAGGCAAAGGATCCAAATTTAGGAACAGATTACAAAGCAGAGGAGGTAGAATTGGTGTTGAAATTGGGGCTTATGTGTTCGAATTGTAAGGCTGGAGACAGGCCAAGCATGCGGCAAGTTGTGCAGTATTTGAATTTGGAGATGGCTTTGCCTGATTTGCCATTGCCATTGCCGTCTCCTTCTTGCTGTGGATTCACAGGTACGAGTGACCAAGACTTAAATGACATTCAAATGTCCATTACAACTTCAAGTATGGGTGGCTATTTCTCTCGCACCTCAATACCCGAATCAATCCTTTCTGGAGGTCGGTGATTTCCTTTTGAAGTATGCATGGGACGTAGTAGCTAAGTACTTGTAGAATACTCTTGGTTCGGTTGCATAACCAAGAGTTTTAGCTTTCCTCTGCTTTCCCTTAGCAATTTTTGTCAATTAAATGATTATAAGGATGTATCATGATCTTGCTGTGGTCGATACAGCTAGAACCAAGTTTCAAAGTTCAGAATAATATTGTAATACTACCTTCAATCCTAATTATAAGACCCAGTTGACTAATTTGAGAAAATTAAAGAATTTAGTTAAGTTAGTTAATAGTTACAAAATAGCACCTGTTTTCCAAAAATACCCTCATCAAATTTTAAAAAATATCCTGCACAATCGCGAGCTATTTTTCTGACCACGTCAAACCCCAATTTTTCAGCACCTAATCGATCTCTCTCTGTTCATTGCTATTTAAACAGGGGCGCTTAAAATTTAACAATTTGAGTCATTTATATATTTATTTTAATAATTTAAAAGTGTATTAATATATTTATAAAATATTTAAACTAACCTAATCAAATTTTAATTCAAAAATGAGAAGTGGAGAGAGGATTTGGGAAAAAATAAATAAAGATAAGAGACAAAGTATTTGACTATACTTAATATAATACAAGTAGGGGTAATTTGGAAAAAAAAAGATAAAGATAAGAGACAAAGTGGATTGGGGTCTTATATTTAGGACTAAACTAAAAGTCAAACTGGATCTTATAATTAGGACCGGAGGTAGTATGGATAATTACAAACTTTTAGTGTTTCTTTTTTGTGGAGATTCAATGGCAAAACGACATTTAAAGCATGCACTTCGAAATAAAATCAAATTAATCAATTGATAACTTGTGTAGATCTAATATCTGCTTCAGGAGATATTGTTCTTTGGAGGGCCGAAGGACGCAAGATACCAGGAAGCGTTGCATAAGTGAAGATAACCACAATTATCATAAGAATTACACAAAGTATAAGGGAAATTAGATGCATATATTGTTTTCTGTAATCTCTTTATAGATTTTACATTTTCTGTTGATTTTTCATTTAATCCCTCTCATCTAATTGCTCTTCTTTTCTTTTCTTTATTTATTTATTTTTAAAAGAATTTTGCTTTGTGACAATTTAATTTTGCTCGTGGAAGGTAGCTGAATAATATTAAATTCTAAGATAAACCCTACAACTATACTTAACATGATAGTAGCAACTTAAGCAGATAATTTTATTTTTGAAAAGAGCACATTTAGCACAAACAGAAGCTAAATTTACTGACAGAAAGCAAGATAAAACATTGGCTGTAATTTTAAAAAAATAACTAATCAGACACAAATGAATCAGACTACTGCGTACTAGTTATAATTTAGTTGAAAAATAACTATAAAATTAATGTTAATAATTAAAAACGAGTGATAATATCAAAACGAGTTGTTATATACACACACGCACATAGATATGTATGTAAATTACATACACCCAATGAATATGTAGTATGTATTTATATTATTATTAATTCGTTATACATATTTGTTAAAGAAATAAGGTTTCAAAAAAAATTAACTATTAAAAAAAATAACCAAGATTAAAAAAAAAAAAACCAAGCCCTGATCATTGTTTGAACAAGAAATGCACATTCGCTGAATGGAAATCCTTGAAATAAGGAAATCAGTAAGGAATCATTCGTTCAGATGATGAGTTCGGTTTCCAGAAAAACAAATCTAGTGGGCGGCTAAGTGAACTAATCAATGGCTTAATCTTTGATTATTCATCATCAGGTAGTTTAAATACAAAAATGTTCCCTTGTAACTAACCTCTGAAAAATACTTTCATATATACACCATGTCACCCCCCGTCTCTCCCGCAAGCTCCCCAGCTTGGAAATTCCTGATACAAAAGGATCAACGGCTAAATACTTTGTGAAGGAGTCTGACAACTGATCGGAGGAGCTAGCGAACTGGAAGTAATTAATGGGCGACACCCACCTGAACTTTCTAACCACAGTGTAGGGCGTAAGCAATAAATTATCCCAACCAAATACTATAATTCAACGAGACAATCAAGGACCACCATTTGACCCTACCCACACGAATTTGACACATCGCTGCTAATCAATCCCCACTAGATTTTTTGTTTTCCTTCTGACCATTTAATTCATGGGATAAAAAATCTCATAGAAGTTTCGTAAATGAAATATAGGTTCCTAATTTGAAATCCATACAGTAAAGAAAGAACATATAGAAATGATACTTAGCTCACATTCACAATAAATAAGGACTGGAGGGAGCTGTAACATAGTCATAACTTAGCTATGCATGCAGCTGTATATACGTACTGGCACTCACAACAAGTTTCACCATCAAGCTGCAGTCAAACAGCGTACACTGCTGAAGTGGCTATCATTTATTGCCAGCTGACATACTTTCATGGATAGCTAACATTCTTGGCTGCCAGATCCTCATGCATCATGACTCAATAAGATCCTCACCGTTGTCGAGACTTTTGAGGCAACCATGTTTGTGAAGCTTGCTATTATGGCGGTATTGTCGGTTTTGTTGAAGATGGTGGTTAAAACAATAGTCCTAGTGAGCGGTGAGGATACAAGTTTCTTCTTTAACTATGGCTTCCAATCTGCCAATTTAGCTGTGGATGGTGTTGCTTCTGTTACCTCCAATGGCGTCCTCCTACTCACCAACGAAACGTAACCAAGCGGCAAATGGGTCATGCATTTTACCCTAATCCACTTTTTTTCACAAACACTTCTTTCTCTACCCCTTTTGTTTTCGTCATTCGACCTCTATACCCTACTCTCGGTGGTCATGGACTGGCTTTTCTAATTTCCCCAACCAAGGCATTCCCAGGTGCTCGTCCCACTCAGTACCTAGGCCTCTTCAATGAAACCACCAGCGGTGACCAAAGAAACAATGTGTTCGCAGGGGAACTCGACATCGTTCAAACCAGTGAGCTTGGGGATAGCAATTATAACCATGTCGGAATGGATGTTAATGGCTTGAATTCGGCAACTTCTGCTTTTGCTTGATACCATGTTAATGAGCTTCAGTTTCATAATTTGAGGCTTGAGCCTTATCAGCGGCATGCCGATGCAAGTGTGAGTGGACTATGACGAAGGCCAGAACAAATTGACGTGACCCTAGCTCCAATCAACATCGACAAACCCGAAACTTCGTTGTTAACGTTGTTCCAAGATCTTTCTCATGTTATAAAGGATCTTGGTCATGTGGGATTTTCAGCTACCACTGGCTCAGTATTGACTTCTCATTATGTTCTTGGTTGGAGCTTCAAGTTCAATGGGGAGGCTTAAAACCTTCAACTGTCAAAACTCCCAAAGCTGCCACGACTTGGAAGAGAAAAACAACCTATGATTTACACACAATCGTGCTAACTCTGTTATCACTTTCTTCAATTTTTTGGCGACTTTATCGATTATTTATTTCCTGTATAGGAGGAGGAAGTTTTCTGAGATTGTGGAGGAGTGGGAGCAAGACTATGGTCCCCACAGGTTCAAATACAAAGATCTCTATATTTCCACAAAGGGATTCAGAGAGAAAGAGCTTCTCGGCAGTGGTGGTTTTGGCAGCGTCTACAAGGGGACGATGCCAGGTTCGAAAGTTGAGGTTGCCATGAAGAAAGTATCCCATGAATCCCGGCAATGTGTGAGGGAATTCAGAGCAGAAATCGTGAGCATCTGTTGTCTACACCATCAAAACCTCGTTTCTCTGTTGGGATATTACAGGGCCAAAGGAGAGCTTATTTTGGTTCATGATTTTATGCCGAATGAAAGCTTAGATAAATACCTGTATAACCAACCCGGTGTGACACTAAATTGGATGCAAAGATTTAAGATCATCAAAGGGGTAGCTTTGGGATTGTGCTATCTAACATATAGGTCCCGTTTGGTAGGAAGCATTGAAAATAAGGGATTGAGATTGGGATTACAATTAAAAAAATCATTAAAATAGTATTTAGCATGAGTAATTACTTGTTATATAGGATTAGACAAACGTATAGAAGTGGGATTAGGGAATACTACTTCCCCCCATGGTATTCTCCAATCCCACATACATAGGTTTGGCTAATCCCATATAAGAAACAATCTCTTATACTAAGGATGTTTGGATGAAACCAAATCATGGTTTGAAGAATAGCTTCTGGAGAATAGATTATGGGGAGAATAGATTTTGTAAAGAATAAATTTTGTGAAAAAATGATTTTTAGAAATGAAAATGTTTAGATAGTTATTACTAGAAGTACTTTTTATATATACAAATTACTAAAAAAGACATAAGTTAATATGATAATTACATAAAAAATAGATTTTATGATATATTTTAATTTGAAGGAATAAAATTGTTAATAATATATTTTTTACCAATATAATTAATAATATATATTAATTAATTTAATATGTGTATTAATTAATTGTTAATAATTTTACATATATTTATAAAATATAAGAATAAATATGTTTTTTTAAAAAAATTTAACAGAAAAATATTATTTTAAAAGCAGGAGGACCGGTCAAAAGGCATAAAGAATTAGGGAGGAGAAAGAAGGAGAAATGTGAGGTGTGAAATGATGGGCCTCCTCGCTAGCAATGTCCACAGTCCATCTTTCATTCCAAAAGTAAAAAAATTTCGCTTATCACAAAACCACAGTTTTAATGGCCAGACCATGGTTTCATGACAAAACCATGGTTTTAAAGCATTAAGGGGTGTTTGGATGTTTTTAGGAGCAAACCTTGGTTTGGGTCTCCAAACCATGGTTTGGGATGATACCCAAACACTCCCGAAATACTCTTTTAATACTACCTCAAGTCCTTAATATAAAAACTTGTTTGACTTTTATTTTGATCTTAAATATAAGACCCCAATCCACTTTATCTCTCACATTTACTTAATTTTTTCCAAGATAGTCCTTCCAATAATTATAGTTCTAATCAATACACTTGATTAGCAAGGATATTTTAGGAATGACAATACCTATTTAGGACAAATAACTAACTCAACCTATTTCCTTAATCTTCTCAAATTAGTCAACTGGCTCTTATAATTAGGAACGGAGGTAGTATATTTTCTCAATTGCAATCTCAATTCCAATCCCTTATTTTCAATACTTCCTACCAAACGTAACCATAGTTCCATGTACAAAATTGGCTGTATTTGTAACAAAATGACATAGTTGTCAGTTTTCCTTCCAAACATGTTATACTCACACGCACGCAAACACATGTTGCAGCAATAATGCAAACCTAGCAATAAGCACTCAGTCAAGATCCTCATGATGCCTTTGTCTCGTTTTCTTCCAGTGTATATAGCTCTTTGGCTTAAACATATCATACATTTACCTAACTAACTAGATGCATATAGCTTTTAAGTGAAAGAATCAGATTTATGCGAAGTTTAATATGTGTTTATAATTACACCAAGTTTTAAACAAATATGGCGCCTAAAGAGTTTTGTTTCAAAATTCAAACAGCCAATCAAGTAATGTTGAGCATGATCCAAAAATTTTCCCGAAGAGAATAAGCTCATGAACAATCTCATTGTAGTCTCATTAAGATATTGTATACTCACCGCAATCCCTAGGCGACCAGCTATTCCAAAAGCTGCTTGCCCTATATCCGGGTAGGTGTGGAGACCAGGAGAGCTTTCTAAACATCTCTTCAACAAAATACCAGTGTAGCAGCATAAGACGGCAAACAAGAAAAGTATTAGAAGACTTAACCATCCGCCTTCTTTTACCGCATAGGGTGTTGTAAGAAGTCCTATTCCACAGTACATTGGCTCCTTCACACACAACCGGACAAAAAGAAAAGAAGAAGCTATCTAGAAGTTACATGCACGTCAGAGATAACAAGAAAATTGTGCCCCAGAACTCGGCCTTTTCCGCACAATGAAGATGATAATTACCATTAAGGATTGACTGCTCTAATGAAGATTACTCTAAAGGAGGTGGAAATTCACAACTAGAAAATTTAGAGCAGTTAGATAGACGAGACATCCTGGGGTTACTGAAGCTAGGCTCCTCTTGTGTCAATGAGATTGTTTCAGGAATGAAGGCTGTGTTTAAATCAGAATCATCATTCCGATGCCTCTTGGATGTTGCAGTACAAGAAGTAACTGATCGACTTGATATACTTAATTGCCTTAGCAAACTCATTGAAGGTGGTGTTACACTGGTCAACATGTCCATAGATTGCCTGCAAAAATACTCGACAGATTAGGGTTTCCGTCTCGATTCTGATATTTTTAACCATCATTAGTTTCAAAACACTTTCCAGCATAAAACCTTTTGGCCTAAGAAGTCCTTAGATATTTCATGCTGATACTAGACGTGCGATAATAAATGAAACTACCGATAGGTTTGAGGCCACGCGGGACTACCGACGTCGTCGTCAATGTCGTTGGAAAAATTAGGTTCAGATATTTCTGAATCGGTCTCCGAACTTAAATGTTCGAAAACCCTATCCGCTGGGTTTTCTTCATCATCAGTCTGGAACTCAACCTCACGATCAGGACCCAAATCATCTTCGTCTATCTTCATCCTCATACTAAAATCAACGCACGTCAGCTCCAATTTTCTTTACAGAAACCTAAGAGGAAAAGGAAAAAGAGAAGACAAGAAGAGAAAAGGAAGATCACGTCTTTTGGATTAATCCGAAGATAAATGTGGATATATTATTAACTTTGGCATCAGTAAACTGTTATTTGGTATTCAAAAGAGTTGCTGGAAACCAAGTTCATGGGAACTAACTGAACATCCTTTAGTAAGTCATTTTTGTTTAATTCTCTCCAATATTTTCGACCGAGAGACTTACCATTAATAGAAAATAAAATCCTCGTACAATAGAGAATAGAATGGCTCACGTTAAATCCTATATGGCTAGAATTCGAGAAAATTTAACAAGTATTATTTTATTTTCTTATAAAATTTTATATCTTAGCTTTGCATTTAATAAATTAAATTTGGCTCAAATATAATTCAACTCCCCTTAAAATTATAAAATGTAAAATGTAATGCGTTGCAGCGGTACAATAAGAGAAATGATCAAGTCACATTGTCGATGATAACTTGTTACATATAGATATATATTTCATTTAACCCCTTCCATCTATCAATGAATTTACATAGTTTTTTGTATTTTTGTTATTGAAGCTAGCTTTGTATACAAAATTAAAGACAATTTTGTTCTGATTTAGAAGCAGCTCTATTTATTTAATATTGAACATAAAGATACGCAACGATGTTATTCATAATATATGACAGTAGTATAAGCAGAAAGTTTTATCTTTGAAAAGATTATACGTAACCAAAAAGTGAACTTCGTTCAAAAAATAAAATAAAATAAAATAAAATATCATTAGATATATTTTAATGGAACTACTTAATATATTTAATTTAATGAAAATTGGATTATAATATTAAAATACTGTCAGGTCACTTGGGAAGAATGGAGCTCTTACCTACAAATAGTGAAATGGATAAGGAATCAACTTATAATCTAAGTTATGAATTCAAATTCCATTACTGATGTAAAGATATTGTTAGTAAGTAATCTATAAATACCTCTTTAAGCACTTTTTTAATATATATAGAAGAAGCTTTGATCCTAACAAGCCCTAAGACCCAATTCATCAAAACTTTTGTATTGGGGGGAAAAAAAAAAAGGAATGGAGCTCTTATATCTCACTATTCCCTTTAAGAAAATTAAATGTCCATAAATATATAAATAAAATGAGATACATGATATATATAAACATTATCTCCAATTTTTAATATAAGAGCTAGATAAGTAATTTAGGAATAGATTAAGGAAATTAGTTAAGTTGGTTAATTATTTTTAACAAATATGCACTGACTTTCTAAAATTATCGTATTTAATTATGTATATTAGAAGTACCCTTTTATGAAAATCTTTTACTATTAATAGACATATTTTGGAAAAAAAAATTATAAATTTAGGAGGTGAAGTAGATTGAAGTCTCATGTTTATGACTAAATTCGGATCCCAACTAATTCTTATATTTGGGACAGGAGGAAGCATATAATTTCTATTATTTTTATTTAACAAAGTCTCATTAATTTTTTTCGTTTTTTAAACGATGACAATTTTTTATCCTAATTATTCAATTATATTTGTATCTCCAGACTAATTCGTAAAACGGTGCTTTTCATAGGTGAGGTGCGTCCGGGGACCGTAGCTTCACTTGGCGGGGTTATAAGTATCCCACGCATGGGCGGCCATCGATATCAGCTTAGAGTTTGCTTCTGCGTAAGGCTACTGGCACTCTCCAGATATTTCAATATCAGTATATGAGTCTGCATCATCTAAATATTCTCAAGTGTGACCATTTTTCTCCAAATACATGACTGCGCGTGACTACGAAAAATCTTATCTTTTCTTTTAGTCAAGCCGATCATTCACGTGCGACAACCAAAACCAACCACTTGTCTTGCCTTTCAAAGACCGGTGATAAAAAGGAGAAACCAGATACTACTATGTTTTGGCATAATGGTATAATGAAAGGAGTTAATTTCTTATAATAAGACGTGCAGATAGAGGTGCCCACGATTACAGCCCATATTTAGCGGGTGATAACATATTTTCTCTTGTTTACTTTTCTTTCTATTTTTTCTCATTCCATTTTTCCCCATACTTTTCCTTCTATCCAAACCAAGGGTCAAAGGTTTTGTTTGGGAGTAAATGACTCATACGGATATGCCGTCATTTACAATTCAAGATAATTAACCCTATACCTATTCTTAATATATATGTGAAGACTGCCACGATTATTATAAGAATTAAACAAAGTATTAGAGAAATGGCAAAAGAAAAAACAAAGCAATATCAATTTTGCATTTCATGTTGCATTGTTGATTGTATCTTGTTATGAATTTTACATCCGTCTAATCTAATTTAATCTATCTGTCTAATATACTTATAAAATCTAGCAATACCCGCCAATGCTTAAATGAATCGGGTTGTATATTCATATTATACGTGTATATGCTTTATCTCCATATGGATGTGCCTTATTTTTATTTCATATAAAAAAACGTTATATTTTTATAAGCACACAGCAAAATATGAATATTTTGGAATAAGAAGGGGCCACGAATACAATCTATATGTATATGCCTTATTTTTATTATTTATTTTATATAAGAAACGTTATATTTTAAAAAATACACAGTAAAATATGAATTTTTTTGTGGTGAGATCGACTAGATTTCTAATCTAATCATATGTAGATACACACCACCTGTGCACCGTAAGGAGGTGAATTTTCTAGTATTATATTGATTTTTCATTTGGTCCCTCTCATCTAATAACTTCTTTTTTAATTTCGTTTTTTGAGAAATAACCCTACAAGTCTACAACTATTCTTAATATATGATAGTAATATGAGTGGATAATTTTATTTTCGAAAAGACATATATAACCGAAACAAAAGCTAAATTTATTGACGGAAAAATTAAAAAAAAAACATTGATTGTAATTTCAAAAAAGAAGATATAAATGAATCAGACTGCTGGATATAATTTAGTAGGGAAATTTAATATGAATTATTAAGAATAATTGATAATATCAAAACGAGTTGTCATGATATCTCTTGTAGATCCGACGCATCACTGTGGTTTGCTTTAAGAACACACACACACACACACACAAAATGTAAAATTAAATGAGTCTGTGGTATATATTTCTGTTATTGTTAATTTATTATGCATAACAATAGTTATTAATCTTTTTAAATTAAAAGAGTATACACTTATATGACATGAAGTTATCAACGGAATTAAACCCCGACTTCTATTTGAAAGAAAGCTTCTATGCGATTGGCTTATTAAGTTACGAGGTTATTTGCTATTAAGAGCGGCTTAACCACTTTGAGTAAATTAAAAAAAATTTAGTTAAGTTAGTTATTTATAATAAATATGAGTTTATTTTCTTAAAATACTATTTTTATTCATAACTACCTTTAGATAGAAACCTATTGACATGTGTAGCTATTAAAAATATTTTAAAAAATGAATTATAGATTTGAGAGGCAATGTGAATTGAGATTTTATATAAAAAAATTAAATCTAATGCTGGATTAATTCTTGACGCTGCAATGTTGAGTGTGATAGGACAGCCAATATAAGTCTCCCGTTTCTAGAATTTTGTCTCAGTAAGATGAAATCATCACCCTTCATTGAATGATGTGCTTGCCCCGCAGATCAAGGGTTGAGATGTACTCGAGGACCAAGACCACATGACACAGCAAAAAGTCTCTCCCAATTCAACGCAACAAACCTTTCGATCCTACTGACGCCAACGTCAGATCACTAGCATTCAATCCCAATTCACGACTTTGAACTTCAGTTAAATTTCATCTTCGCCTACCTCCTTGCAAAAAGAGAACTAGGACTAAATCCAAGAAGACCAAGTCAATAAAGAATCACAATCACGATAATGAATGCACCAAAACCAGCCTATTGTTTCTTGCCCTATAACCATCGCCTACAAAAAGCAGAAACTCTGATTTTGAATGTATAATCAAAGATACAGATAGCAGTAAACTTGATTTTGAGGCAGACATGTCTGTGAAGCTCTTGGCTATGGTGTTTTTGCTGGTGGCAGCGAGTGGTGAAGATACAAGTTTCATCTTCAATTACGGGTTCCAATCTGCTAATCTAACCACGGATGGTATCTCTTTCATCACTTCCAATGGCCTCCTCCAACTCACTAACGAAACCAGGTTGCAAAAGAGTCATGCCTTTTACCCCAATCCAGTAGATTTCACAAACACCACTTCTTTCTCTACCGTTTTTGTTTTCGCCATCAAACCACAATATCCAACTCTGAATGGCCATGGAATTGCTTTTGTCATTTCTCCCACAAAAGCATTTCCAGATGCGCAGCCCAGCCAGTACTTCGGCCTCTTCAACTTAGCCAACAATGGAGACCCCAGAAACCATGTCCTTGCCATAGAACTCGACACCATCGAGAGCGGTGAGTTTGGGGATATCAATGATAACCATGTCGGGATTGATATTAACGGTTTGAATTCCACAAAATCTGCTCCTGCCGGATATTATGTGAGTAGGTTTCAGTTTCAAAATTTGAGCCTCAACAGTAGCCTGCCAATGCAGGTGTGGGTGGACTACGATGGAGGCAAGAAGCAAATTAGTGTCACCCTAGCTCCAATCAACGTTAACAAGCCCGAAATTCCACTGTTAACATTGTCCCGAGATCTTTCTCAAATTCTAACCAATCCCAGTTATGTCGGATTCTCATCTTCCAACGGAGCGCTGACAGCTTTTCAATATGTTCTTGGTTGGAGTTTCCAGGTCAATGGGGAGGCTCAAAAACTTGATACCACTAAACTCCCAAAACTACCACGATTTGGAGGAAACAAACAATCTATGATTTTGCCAATTGGGTTACCTCTCCTTTCACTTTTTCTAATTGTTCTTGTTAGTCTTTCTATAGCTTATTACATATACAGGAAAAGGAAATTTTCTGAGGTTGTCGAGGAGTGGGAGCAAGACTATGGTCCTCACAGGTTCAACTACAAAGATCTCTACAGTGCCACAAAGGGATTCAGAGAGAAAGAGCTTCTCGGCAGTGGTGGCTTTGGTAGCGTCTACAAAGGAACAGTTCCAGGTTCGAAAGTTGAGGTTGCCGTGAAGAAAGTATCCCATGAATCCCGACAAGGGATGAGGGAATTCATAGCAGAAATCGTGAGCATCGGTCGTCTACGCCATCGAAACCTCGTCTCTCTTTTGGGATATTGCAGGCGCAAAGGAGAGCTTCTTTTGGTTTATGATTTCATGCCGAATGGAAGCTTAGATAAATATATCCACAACCAGCCCAGTGTGACACTAAATTGGATGCAAAGATTTAAGATCATCAAAGGGGTAGCTTTGGGATTGTGCTATCTGCATGAAGAATGGGAGCAAGTTGTAGTTCACAGAGACATCAAAGCAAGCAATGTTTTGCTAGATTCAGAGTTTAATGGCAGACTAGGAGATTTCGGTCTTGCAAGATTATATGATCACGGGAGTGATCCTGCAACTACACATGTGGTCGGGACCTTAGGATATCTAGCACCAGAGAACACAATAACGGGAAAAGCCACAACAAAGTCTGATGTTTTTGCTTTTGGCGCTTTTTTGATAGAGGTTGTATGTGGAAAAAGACCTATAGAACGAGGAAGAGAAGAATTTATTTTGGTGAACTGGGTTTACGGGTTATGGAAGAAGGGTGAGATTAACGAAGCAAAGGATCCAAATTTAGGAACAGAGTACAAAGCAGAGGAGGGAGAATTAGTGTTGAAACTGGGGCTTATGTGTTCCAATTTGAGATCTGAATATAGGCCAAGCATGCGCCAAGTTGTGCAGTACTTGAATATGGAAGTGCCTTTACCTGACTTGCCACTGCCACTGCCACTGCCGTCTCCTTCTGGCCGTGGATTTACATATGGGAGTCAGCAAGACTTTGATGACATTCAAATGTCCTTTGCGTCTTCAAGTATGGATGGCTATTTCTCTCGCACTTCAATACCTGAATCAATCCTCTCTGGAGGTCGTTGATTTCCTTTAGAAGACAACATGTCTATGGGACGTAGCATTTAAGTACTTGTATTTTTCCTCTGCTCTATGCTTTGGTAGTTGTGTTCTCTGTATTTTAAAATGAAATGAGTTTTAGCTTTCCTTTGCTTGTGCACCGTGTGGGTGAGATTAAGGGGGTGTTTGGATAAACTTAAATCATGGTTTCGAGAATAGCTTTTGAAGAATAGCTTTTTGGGAGAATAGATTTTGAGAATAGATTTTGGAAAAAAGTGATTTGATAAAGTGAGAATATTTGGATAATTGTTATCAAAATCTTTTTTTTCATATACAAATTACTAAAAAGGATATAAGCTAATATGATAATTAGATAAATGATAGATTTCAATTTATATTTTTGTTTGAAATAATAATTTGTAAATAATAAATTATATATGAAAAAATATAATTAATATTATCTTTGATTCTTAGTATAAGAGCTAATTGGGTATTCTGTTTGATTTTGAATATAACATATCAATCTATCTTGTCTCATACATTTATCTATTTTTTTCAAAGTAATCCTCATATTAGTTTGCACATGTTAAATGTTACATCAAATAATAATCCCAATGCACATCCCAATTTAGAGAATGCAACACATATTTATTATAAATAAATAACTTAACTAATTTTCTTAATATTTACAATTTAGTTTTTTAACTCTTACATTAAGGATCAAAAGTAGTAATTGATATGTGTATATATATTTATATCCCAAACTATGGTTTTATACTTTTAAAAGCAAAAAAAATTCACTTTATGAAAAACCATGGTTTCATACCCAAAACCATGGTTTCCAAATGAAAAGTGACTTTGGAAAAAATTATAATGTTTGGTTACTTTTATACAAATCATGGTTTCAAATCAAAAAGCGATTTTGAAAAAATATATAGTGTTTGGATGTTTTTTCTTGAAACCATGGTTTTCTCTTCAAAATCGTGGTTTGAAAAAAAACCCAAACACTCCCTTAAGTCTAATTTTGTCGTGCTTAAATTCTTCGTTTCGTAGTACAGAGGAGGATAGAGATCATAAGACGTGTAATAAGATGACAATATCTTTTTTTTCCTTTGGAAGTTTTTTATCCAGTAAATGACTCACAAGAATATCCAGTCAATTACAGTTTTTTAAGACTACCACAATTATCATGAGAATTACACACAAGTATGAGAGAAATTAGTTTCATTGTTTACTGTAGTTTGTTATAAATTTTACATTTTATATTGATTTTTCACTTGTTCCCTCTCATCTAGTTAATATTTTATAAATTACACGTAATATATTGTTTTAGAACCAAAATCAACTTCTCGATAAACTTATAAATTTAGAAGATAAGAAGTATTAAACAACAATTTTATTCTTTGTTTAAAGGCAGCTAAATAATATTTCTCCAGTCTTAAATATAAAACTCATTTTATAATATAATATACTACAAAACAAATCTTTTATTTAGTACCAAAGAAGTATTAAACATGAATATGCGCAACAATGTTATTCATGACAGTAGTATAAGAAGAAATTTGCATCTTTCAAAAGAATATTTGTAACAAGAAAGGTGAACTTCATTAAAAAAATGAAATAAAATATTATTAGATATAATTGAACTACTTAATATAATTAATTTAATAAAAATTGAGTTATAATATTAAATTACTGTATTCACCTCATCACTTGGGAACAATAGAGCTCTTCTATCTCACGATTCGCTTTAATGGAAAATTAAATTTTTATAAATAGATAAATAAAATGCGATACGTGATATATAATTTCTACTGTTTTTTTATGTGGTAAACCCTCAATAACTGTTCTCATATTTTAAAACAATGGTGAGTCCGTGGACCGTAGCTTGACTTGGTAGTGTTGATTATAACACCAGGCAGCCCATGAACCATCCATTTTACTAGTGTTGGTCCAAACCAGTGTCTGGCTTAAAGGAAGCTTGTCAAAATGATCTCAAACCGCAGATTTCTATCTCTTTGCTCTCGGTTCATCTCCTTCCTCACCCTCAATACTTGTCAAACCAGTGTCTTTTTCCTTTTCATTAACAGGTGTTTCTATAGTACTACTTTCATTTTCACTATAATCTTCTTGACCAGTTTGTGCATTCGACATCTTTAAATAAATTAAACTTCTTTTCTGCATAAATAGAAAAAAAAAGCACAAATAATTTACAACTGAAATTGCTAACTAACTAATCACTAATCAGTAATCAATATCCCCAGTTCGAATTCAATATATATCCTCACAACACAGACAACAATCTAACATCAAATACAATATATATCATTTAACTAAGCTCAATTCGAATCATGCATGGATGACACTTCCATTAAATGACAATATATCCTCAGTTCGAATTCAATATATATCCTCACAGCCAATCAAACCACACTTCACAGAATCACAGCAAAGTTGTCCGAAATTTAAAAAAAAAAATAGCAGAGACAGTTACCTCGCAGATGAATTGATTCAGGGTGTGTTCACACTTCACAGCAAAGGCACGGCGCCACGGGCACTACAGAGCTGGCGCAGGGAGAGACACGACGAGAATTTTAATTCAGGGCGATGCAATTTTTCAGTCAGCTCCAGGATTATGCAATCATGGGTAATTTTATACTTTTCAGTGATTGTTAATGGCAGAGAATCAGTGGAGACTCAAAGAAGAAGAGGCGGGAGAGTACTCACCGGCATCAGAGACTCAGAGTGCAAAAAATCCGAGGAAGAGAGGGCAGTCGGGCACGCTAGCTCTTCGGTGGTCACTATCGTGTGCGAGAGTCGAGATCGCAGGACTAACAGAGCGCAGCCGCGGGGAAGGAACGACGAGGAAGAGGCGTGCCTGAAGGCAGAGGCGCCGAAGCGATCGAGCTCGCGGGAGAGTTCAGTACAGACTACAGAGTGCGGCCGCAAGATAAAAAATCTGACGAAGAACGCTAGCGAGACGGTGGTCCAGATTCAAGATCCAAATGTGGCTTTGGCTTCAGCTATCTCCTTGTGCGCGAGAGTCGGGAAAGGAGTGAGCAGACCTTCGCTCGTAGAACGATGGAAGAGACGGATTTCAGCAGCTCTGATTTCTGAAGCCAGCGGAAGCAAAGACTCACAGACTGAGAGATTCTGAGGGGCGAGAGCGGCAAGACGAGGCGCGGCGTATGGCTAGTATGAACTGAACCTCTGAGTAATTGAGTATGAACTACTAGAAATTTAGGGCTCAAGAGACGAAGGCCGAAGACCGGATAAATTGAAATTTGCAATTTTTTTTTTATAATATATACCCCGGGACGGGACGACCCCGTCCTGTGTCCCGTCTCGTCCCGGGGTACATTTTGTCCCGTCCCGTAAATTTTTTTGTCCCGTCCCGTCCCATCCCAAAGTTACCAGGACCGAGACAGACCTACCAGGATGGGACAATTTGAACACCCCTAGTGTTGGATATGAATTTAGAGTTTACTTCTGTGTAAGGCTACCGGCACACCTTTTTTTTTTTGGACTCATACTGGCACACCTTTAAGATACTTTCAACGTCGGAATGAGTTATAACTAATCAATCAAATCATATACTAGACCAAAATGAGCAATAAATGTTTAAGTAATATAATCTTCTTCAAAATATACCATTATTTATTTATGGACATCAGAGAGTAGGCGAAATAGAATGAGCGAAAAATTTGAGAGAACATGTAATAATTTGTTGAATGAAAAAGAATGTGTGATACTTAATATACATTTTTATATTATCCAATCCTTAATCTAAAAGCTAGTTAACTAACTAATTTGAGTATATTAAAAAATTAGTTAAGTTAGCTTTTTGTAGTAAATAAATGTTGTCTTCCCTAAAATACTCTTGTTAATCATGTGTAACTACTATTTGATGGAACTTTTAGCATATGCAACTATTATAAAGATTAAGTTAAAAAAAATGGATAGATTTAAAAGACAAAGTACTCCTCTGGTTGTTAATAGAAGACTTAATTATTGAGTTGATTTTGGTCCTAAATATATGATATATTTATCATATTCATCAATTTTTTTTCTAAATTATTCCTATGGATACTCCCTCAACCATAATCAAGTAGAAAAGAGAAGGAGGATATTAAGAAAAATGATTATGGTATTTTAGAAAAAATATGTCATATTTCTTATAATTAACTACCTTACCTAACTTTATTAATTTAATCAAATTAGTTAAATAGATCTTATATTAAAAACTGAAAGTGTAACACCTCACATAATTATATCAATATACTCGATAAAATATTTAATTTAAAAGTCCATACATATTTTTAATACTGCAAATAAGTCAAAATTTCAAAACATTTCTAACATCACTTAACAACATAAACTATTAAAGTCTTATAATTATGGCAAATAAAAATATAACATAGCATGTGCTTGAGGAGCACAAAAGCCTTCACGGCTCACTCCATTGGTGCCTTCCCTTGATTCCTACTAGATCCTTCGCCTGAAAAATTGTTAATATAGGGGGTGAGATCTAACGTCTCAGTAACTACTGAAATTCTAACCTATACAAGCAAATCATATATGATAAACCAAAAATCCGTTTATATGTGTGTATAAATATATTAAAAATCACGGATTTGAGACATCCAATTCAATTTCATTTTTTTTCCCAACAATATACCAATATCATTTTTCTAATATATCCAAAAATAATGCAATATGATGCCTCCCTTATATCACCGTCCACCCTTATACCGCTGACTGGAGCCATAGGCTAACACATAGTTCGATAGGAACTAATCCATTTTACTGAATTATTCCAAACTCACCGATACAAGAGATATATCCGGCCAAAGATATAGAGCTCAAGCTCGGACTATGGCTCCCCTCCTTTGTGAATAGGGAGGTGTCACATGTCCCACAACTCCAATGAATTCCCGGCCAAAGGAAAACATGGAAGAAGGGGCCCTGACAAGTGCCATCCACTGTGCACCGAGTGATGGCATACCACGTGGTAATTTTATATCCATGCAATCTCCTTCTATCCTTAGCCCAACAATGCATGTCAGATGCCAACAATGTTACATCATAAATACTTCCTCAAATATATTAAAAATAAGATAGCAATAAAACTTATATACCATTTAATAGCAATTCATGATAATTTCATAGCTATTAATATATTTAAATATTGATCATAATTACTAGCAACAAATCTTAATAAAATCATGTAACATACCAAAACATTTATTTTACAGAAATCATAATATTATATTTCAGGAATATAATAATTAGTAAATCCACAATATAATCATACACAATTCACATGTACAAGAAAGAATTTTCAGAGTTACCTGGTACTCTTTAGCTTACAAATATTCACACAAGGATTACTTCAAAATCTCAAGGGTCTACAAAATTACACATAAATATTTATTAATATAAACTCAGAACTACTCTAAAGCTACTCTAAAATTCTAAAACTACCCTCTAAACCAAAATTACATAAGTATATTAACTCTCCCAAATCTAGGCATTTATAATAGATATTATTTTGAAAAATAATTTACATATAAGGCTATTTAAATTTAACAAAAGTATATATATATATATATTTAATTATAAACAAACTGTAGCTTTATTTAATTTTACAAAATTCTCAATTTATAAATTTTCAAGCCTTCAAAAATTATTTCAACAATATATCTTTAACTTATTCAATATTTAAACCGATTAAAACCTCAATAATATATTAAATAACTCAAATAAATTATTTAACTCAAATTTAATCGGTAAAAACATATTACAAGTCTAAATAACAAATTTTTCAACTAAAATCTTAGTTTAAAATTCTCAAAGTAATCATTCAACAAAAATAAACCGATTAAAATTCCTTAATAATGGATCTTTAAATTTCTACGGTCATATATTGTCAAAACTCCATATTTACTCTATACTCAAACAGTAAAATTTTCTCTAAACATTATAATGATACTAATAATATAAAGTTCTAAATATATAGGAAATGTTCATAAAAAAATAGGATAACAAGAAGTAGTTTTGTGTATCTAAATGATCTCCAAAACCGTCAAGTACTTTGCAATTTAGCTTTCTCTCTCTTTTCCTCTCCGCTTCTCACTCTCTTCTCTCTTCCTTCACTCTCTCTTCCTCCTCCGTCTCCTCTCCCCCTCTTTTATCCTATTTTCCCTTCACCATCTAACTACCCCATCCCCCATTTTTCCTTCTTCAATTTAATGCCACCCCCTTATTTCTTCCTCCAATTAATTCTTGCGCCCATGTTTTCTTTGTTCTTGACTATTATTCCCAGCTTTTCCACCGAAGTCGGTGGAAAGCTGGGTATATTTTTTTTTATAATAATATATTATTATATATTTTTAATTATAATTTTTTTTATATAGAGAAAAAAAAAGTATATTACAGAAAGAGTAGAGTGGAGTTTTATATTTAAGATAAAATTAAATATCAAATTAGTTCTTATATTAAGAATCAAAAGTAATATTTAATATGAGGTAAAAATGAGAGAAAAAATTAAATTTTCAGTAAAAAAAAAAAGCGTAACTTTTATATACATGACTAATCATAGAAAGTATAAATATGGATTCTATAAAATAGTCCGGTTCGAAACTTCTCCTCTTCCCTTCCTGTTCTTTTTTCTTCTCTTCTTTTTCTCGATCGTCAGATAAACATATTTTAATTGTTTAGATTTTAATTTTTTATAAACTATTTATAAACAAATTTTAAAAACATTTAGTGTACTTGCAAATCATTAAAATTAAATTTTAATATGATTTATAATTTATAATCTATTTATTTTAATAATAGTTTTAAAAGGATTTAAATCTGAACAGTTAAAATATTAATCTAACAATTAAAAAAAAAAGAGAATAGGAACGAAAAGGAGAGGTTTTTAAACCCAAAAAGAGTCATGCCTCACGTGACAATTTTTCTCCAACTGCCACGTGACTGCGTGATTGCCAAAAATCTTGCCTTTTCTTTCAGTCACATTACCCAAGAAGCCAACCATTGAAGGCAACCAAAACCAACCCATTGTCTTCCCTTTCAACGACCGGCGATGGAAAGGAGAAACTGTGATTGTAGTGTATACATTTAAGGAAGATATACGTATAGCAGAGGAGACAATTAACAGAAGGTTGAGACAAAGCTATGTTCGTGAAGCTTGTTATGGCGTTGGCGGTTTTGTTGGCGACAACAATGGTACAAGTGAGTGGCGCAGATACGAGTTTCATCTTTAATCATGGCTTCCAATCTGCTAATTTAACCATGGATGGCATTTCTATCATCACTCCCAATGGCCTTCTCCAACTCAACAACGAAACTGGGAGGCAAATGGGTCATGCTTTTTACTCCAATCCAGTAGTTTTCACAAACACTTCTTCTTTCTCTACTACTTTTGTTTTCGCCATTAGACCTCTATATTCAACTCTTGGTAGTCCTGGCATGGCTTTTGTGATCTCTCCAAAATATGCTTTTCCAGATGCTCAGCCCTACCAGTACTTCGGCCTCTTCAACAAAACCAACCTTGGTGACCCCAAAAACCACGTGCTCGCTGTAGAATTGGACGCCATCCAGAACATGGATGTTGGGGATATCGATGGTAACCATGTCGGGATCGATATTAACGGCTTGAATTCCACAAAAGCTGCTTCTGCCGGATATCATGTCAACAGGTTTCAATATCAGAATTTGAGCCTCAGCAGTGGCTTGCCGATGCAGGTGTGGGTGGACTATGATGGGGGCAAGAAGCAAATTAGTGTCACCCTAGCTCCAATCAATGTTAACAAGCCCGAAATACCATTGTTAACATTGTCCAAAGATCTTTCTCAAATTCTAACAAACCCCAGTTATGTCGGATTCTCATCTTCTAATGGGCTGCTCACAGCTGGTTCTAATTATGTTCTTGGCTGGAGTTTCCAGATCAATGGCGAAGCACAAACGCTTGATGCCTCGAGGCTCCCAAAACTCCCACGACTTGAGGGGAAGAAACAATCCATGATTTTGCCAATTGGGTTACCCCTCCTTTCACTTTTTCTAATTGTTCTTACTAGTTTATCTATAGCTTATTACATATACAGGAAAAGGAAATTTTCTGAGGTTGTGGAGGAGTGGGAGCAAGACTATGGTCCTCATAGGTTCAAATACAAAGATCTCTATATTGCCACAAAGGGATTTAGAGAGAGAGAGCTTCTCGGCAGTGGTGGTTTTGGTAGAGTCTACAAAGGAACAGTTCCAGGTTCAAATGTTGAGATTGCCGTGAAGAAAGTATCCCATGAATCTCGACAAGGGATGAGAGAATTCATAGCAGAAATCGTAAGCATTGGTCGTCTACGCCATCGAAACCTCGTATCTCTTTTGGGATATTGTAGGCGAAAAGGTGAACTTCTTTTGGTTTATGATTTCATGCCGAATGGAAGCTTAGATAAATACCTCCATAACCAACCCAGAGTGACACTAAACTGGATGCAAAGATTCAAAATCATCAAAGGCATAGCTTCGGGACTGTGCTATCTGCATGAAGAGTGGGAGCAAGTTGTGGTTCACAGAGACATAAAAGCAAGCAATGTTTTGCTAGATTCAGAGTTTAATGGCAGGTTAGGAGATTTTGGTCTGGCAAGGTTATACGATCATGGGAGTGATCCTGCAACTACACATGTGGTCGGGACCTTGGGTTATCTGGCACCGGAGAACACAAGAACAGGAAAAGCCACAACAAAGTCTGATGTTTTTGCTTTTGGCGCTTTTTTGCTGGAGGTTGCATGTGGAAAAAGGCCTATAGAGCGAGGAAGAGAAGAATTTATCTTGGTGGACTGGGTTTATGGGTTATGGAAGAGGGGTGAAATTAATGAGGCAAGGGATCCAAATTTAGGAGCAGAGTACAAAGCAGAGGAGGTAGAATTAGTGTTGAAATTGGGGCTTATGTGTTCCAATTCGAAGGCTGAATATAGGCCAAGCATGCGCCGAGTTGTGCAGTACTTGAATATGGAAGTGCCTTTGCCTGTTTTGCCATTGCCATTGTCGTCTCCTTCTGGCTTTGGATTTACATATGGGAGTCAGCAAGACTTTGCTGACATTCAAATGTCCCTTGGGTCTTCAAGTATGGATGGCTATTTCTCTCGCACTTCAATTCCTGAATCAATCCTCTCTGAAGGTCGTTGATTTCCTTTTGAAGACAACATCTATGGGACATAGCAGTTAGGTACTCTTGGTCAGGTTGCGTATATAACATGCTTATGTTTCCTCTGTTCTATGCTTTTTTAGTTGTGCTCTGCGTGCATTTTAAAATGAAATGAGTTTGAGCTTTCCTCTGCTGGTGCACTATATGAGACTATGGGTGAGATTAATTTTGCGGTGTTTTCATTCTTCGTTTCGTATTACAGAGGAGGTATTAATTCTACGAGAAATAAGTTAAATTAAAATCTTATATTTAGAATCAAAATCAAGTTCTCCTTAACCTTATACATTAGATAACCCTACAAACTATTCCTTATACATAACAGTATTTAACTTGTAAGTTCTGCTTGAGGCTGCAATAATGTTGCGTATGAGAAGTCTTCCAATTCAGCGACCATCAGAGGCTAAATACACCAATCTAAGGTTACGTACGTAGTCCTGCCAAGAGGTGCTTCCACTCATAAGGCTATGAAGCCAACAAAAGACTGAGTCAATCAGATACAAGTCAAGAATATTATCCATACTCCCTCTTGTCCTTGTCAGTTGTCACCCAAGGAGCCAAATCATATATCCAGTCCGCTTTTTTTCTTTAAATTAAAATCATTTATCTAGTCAGCTTGTCCAATCAGCATGCCATGTCAGCAAAATAAACGGCATTATGAGCCATCAGCAAACTTAACGATGTTAAACTTATGTTCAAGTCCTTATTAAACTACAAGTACGAATATTATAAACGGAGTAAATTTATAAGATCAAAATTTATAGCTTGAAACTTCTAGGATCAAAAACAAAATGAGAGTAAACTATAAGAACCTTACATTTTATTAACCCTTCATGATATAAATATTTCTTTGGGTGTCTGAATCAGTTTCAGTACTCATCGCAATTATGAGTATCATTTAACATAATGCCTATCAAATCTCTCAACCATTCAAATTTAATATGTACCGTTTAGATTTTATTTTTTGTATTTTTTTAATATGTTTTAATAGATAGATAATCCAACATAAGTGTAACCTTTTTAATGATTTTTTTAAAAAAAAATAATTTTTTATTTAAAAATTACTAGTTGACAATTTTAAATCTAGACTATTAAAGTTATATCTAAATGGTGCATATTTCTCTGCAGAGATAAGCATTATAGTACTCATAACTAAGGGTGGAAACATGCCAGCCCAGGCCAAGCTAGGCTTTACTCTTAACAGGCCAGGCCTGTTTTGTAGCCTATAGGCCTTAGTCTGGCTTGTGGCTTGTTACAGGCTTATCTTTCAGCCTAAGCCTGGCCTGGCCTAAAGCCTGTTAAAAAGCCTTTTTTTAAAAAAAATTCAAATTACAATAATTTTTTAAGAAAAAAGCTAAAATAAAAAAGGTATACATAATAATTAATTTTTTAGTTTTGTCTTTTATTTAAATTTTAGTATCATAGGTACTATTTTAAATCTTAATTACAATTTATAAGGATATTATTGAAAACTAATTCTAATTATATGTTAAAATTTGTGACAAAACTATGTTTAAGTATAAAAAAAATTAAGACAAATAAATAAAGAAAAAAACTATTAATTTTACAATGAATAAAGAGAGTATCATAATTTAATTAATATAATACATAAGTTAATTAATCTATCATTCTTTGAACAAAAATTTTCTTTCCTATTTTATTTATATTTTTAAGATTTAAAGATCATATTATTTATTGATAATTTTATTTTAAATTATATTTTTATCTTTACTTGTCAACTAAACTTCAAAATCTAACGAAGAACTAAGCTATTAATTATATATTAAAATTAAAAAATAAATTAAAAGTGCACATTAACACTACTATTAATTAATTTTTTTATATATTATAATTATAAATTTCTAACAGGCTCAGGCCTGCCTAACAAGCCTTTTAGAGAGTCTAAGCCTGGCCTGTTAACTTAAATAGGCATTTAAACAGGCCTAAGCCTGTCTCTTTTAGAAAACAGGCCAGGCCAGGCTGTAGGCCCCTAACAGGCCGCCTGGCCTGTTTTCACCCCTACTCATCGCTATGATGAGCACCAAATTTTGTCTTTTGGTGTCGAATACTACAGAAGTTGGACAACTAATTGACAAATATTAAAAAAATTAGTTAAATTAATTATTAATTAGAGGTTTTGTGAGTGCTCATCACTACAATGTTTATAATTAAAGGATTTTATATATTTCTGAGGTAAACTATAAACGCAGGTCAGCTCCAAATTTTTTAAATTCATAGAGGACTAACCACCTCACAAAAGAAACTATGATTTTACTAATATTCTGCTTGGATGGGAAGAAAAATTGGGAGGAAAAAAATGGGATGAGAGAAAATAGAGAGAAGGAAAAACTAGAAAGAAAATGTTATCATCCCTCTTGCTTGGATAGATGGGAGAAAATAGAGAGGAAAGAAAATTAATAAATATCCAAATGACAAAAATGTCTTTATCAAATATATCATATTTTAAATTAAATTAAATTAAATATTGTGACAGAAAGATTATACTAACATTGGCGTCATCAAATAATTAAAATCAAGTTATTTGGTTGATATATATTTTCAGATTATTATATTTTAAAGCCAAATTATTTAATAAAAATATTGTTTTAAGATTAAATAAATAAATAAATTTTTAAATATAATAAAATAAAATAAATATGAAAAGTAAGAGATAGTAGGGGTAGTTATGAAAATCTTGTTTTCCTTCCCAAATCTCTCCATATATGGAGAGAAAATGAGACATGAGACCTACCTTACTTTTTCCACCACTTTCCTTCTTTCCCACATTTTCTCTCCTACCCAAGTAAGAGAAAAGTTGTTTCCCTCATGTTTTCTTTTCTTGTTTTCTCTCCTCTCTAATTTTCTCTCAATCCAAACAGGGGTGAGATTACTGTTGCAGTTATCAACAATAAGTTTCGTTTACCCGTAGATGGTTATATCCTCGCATTTATCTGCAGGCACACAATATTTTGGTGGCGATAGTATTATTAGTATATTATCAATAATTAAGGTGTCTTGAGCACTCGGAAATACTTTTTGTGGTCCAGCACTTTAATATATTCTGTGGTACAATCTTGTCTTTTGTATATTAAAAATGGAGCAATTTCACCCCAAATTTAACAGGCCCCAAACATGCGTCAATCTTAAAAATAAAAAACGCTTCCCATCTGAACAATAAGGAACAAAAGCACTTGTGCTGTAGCTCGAATTACATCTTCATTTTTAATAGCTCCATCCTCAACTCGTTGTTCTTCCTCATCAACTATGCACAATCTGCACCAGCAACCTACTCCCCACCCAAATCATTAACCCTCCTTTTCCCTTCTCTTCTATGTTCATGTTTTCCTCCTTTTATATATCCTCCTCACCGTATCTTGATTTCATTGTCTGTGTTTTCTATAAATCACAAGCCTACAGAGGTCCTCCCAAAATGTGAGCATCCCCCTCCTCCATTTTTTCATGTGCCTTATTCGTATGTTTTTTTTTAATAAATTACTGCAATATTTTTATGGGTTTTGTACGTTCATCAATAAAACCATAGCAGAAGACCAAACGAAATAGTATCGATATGTAATGTTTGCAATTTGTTAAAAATACAGATTTTTTAACAGGCTAGACCAGGCTTGATTATAGGTCAGGCCCAATTTGATTAAAGGTCTTTCATAGGCCACAGGCCAATAAGCCTTACTACAAGCTTGGCCTGTTAAGGGTGAGTCCTGGCCTGACCTAACTTGTTTCTACCCTTAATCAAATGTATAAAACACATATAGATAATATAATATAATGTAATATAATACACATATAATTAAATTGTATATCTTATCAATGTTAATTAAAAAATAAATTTAAAAAAACGTATTTATGAAAAAATTATTTATGACTGAAAATTCAAAATCAGTGTCATTGGAAATTAAAATTATATTAAAAATATTTTTTTAAAAATAAAATGTTATAAAATAAATAGTAAAAAAAATATTTAAAAATTATTTTGCATTAAAATTGTCATGATTAAAATTATCATATAGTTTATATTTAGTTTTTAATAATATATATGTGTATAGAATTGTTTGTATAAAAGAATATTATATGCATTTAATTTTGCATAACGAAACAATAGGTTCATTGCAGTTTAACTAGTAAAGCCTGTTGTTTGTGTAAAAAAATATTATCTACATTTAATAATATATATGAATATATAATTGTCTTCATTAGTTCTATTTATACAAGTCACCTTCTACAAATAAGTTGTTTGGTAAAACCTATAAATTAATTAATATCTTTTCAATAATGTAATTGTATAGATATTATGGAGTTATGATAGTGGAAATGAGGATTGAAAGACATGAGAATGTATTAGTCTTAGGGTTAAGACACTTTCAGTACCTTAAAATATTTTCTCAGGTGTATCTAACATCCTGAAATATTTTTTTTCTTGGCATTAAATGCATCAAAAAATATTTTTTTGGGTCCTCAAGCACTGAAAAAAAATATTTTAGGGTGCTAGATGCATAACAAAGAAAACTTTAAAGTGTTAAAAAAATATTTCGGGGTGTTAGGTTCATCACAAAATACTTGAGGATATTAAATATACATGAGAAAATACTTTAGAGTGTTAAATATACCTTAACCTTAGATTTTATTACATTCAATCAAGAGTCCTTTTGAAGAGATTAGACAATTTAGTTTTAAGAATATTAACTAACTAATCATAACTAACTCTTTTAATTCGGATTCGTGTATGCTAGTTAATACTACCTCCGGTCTTCAATTTAAGAAAAAAAATAATTAATTCAACTTATTTTTTTAATCTTTTTAAATTAGTCAATTGGTTCTTAAAATTAGACGTAATAGTTATTAATAGTTAAAGATGACTGTCAAATAGAGACGGAGAGAGCACGGGCTAGAAACTAGAAAGCTCATCAAAAGAGGGCATTGATCCTGCGGAATGTGGTTTTGGTAAACAAAAAACAAAAAAACAAAAAGTCTTATAGAAGCTCATATTCTAGGGCTGAGAATGGGCCAAGCATACACCGAGTTGATTTCTCATATCGATAGTCTCATCCCCTTGTTCTGCATCTGTATTTGGGAGCGATAGGGAGCTTTTGATGACTGTTTCTCCCGCACCTCAATGCCTGATCTGATCTTGGCAGGTGGTTGACTTATACTATCTCTCATTCTTAATATAAAAACTAGTTACTCTTCTTGTTCTATTTATAAGGCACTTTCAACATGTTTCACACAAATCAAGAAAAACCTTAAACTGCATTAACTCTCCATTAAAATATAGCAACTTTCCAACTTTACCCCTATTTAATATATACTCCTTTCAAAAAAGATAACTACTTATACTATAATAAATGAAGGACAAAATAGTACATTCACACTGAAAAGTTAATGAAGTGACTTATAAATAGAACAAAAAAAACTTTCTCTCTCTGCCCTATAAATAGGACCAGAGGAGTAAGTAATTTGAGTATATTAAAAAAAATTAATTAAGTTGTTTATTTACAATAAATAGGTGTTGTCTTTCTTATAATGACAAAAAAGTGTTATCTTTTCTAAAATACCCTTATTAATCATGTGTATTAACAAAAACTATCATTAGTAGAACCTTCAATATCTGCAACTATTATAAGGACTATTTTAGAAAAAAAATGAGAGACAAAATAGACTAAAGTCTTATATTTATGACAAAATTAAATATTAAGTTAGCCCTTATATTAAAGACAGTATACACAACAAATATAGTATGTATATACTCTTTTTATTTCTTGATAAAAGGAAAAAATTTTTATAAAATGATTACATAAAAAAACTAGCTTTGCATAAAATTGGATCTGAGTTTTTTTTTTTTAAAAAAAAAGCTGATTAGTTATATTCAGCTAATTTGAGTAAAATTCAAATAAATCAAAGGATAAGGTTTATCAAGAAATTAGAACTACTCTATTCCTGTATGTGTGTGTGTATATATATCACTTGTACCCTATCTTGAAAATCTGAAATTAGCGCGTATGATATGTTTTGTCATCAGTGATGCATATGCCTTGGAAAAATGATATGATTTATACTTACAGAAGCAAGCAAATATCGTCCTTTTGAATACAACAGGTTTTGGATTTCCCTTGACGTTTCTGTCAAGCCATTGATCTTTTGGGATGGTTCAAGATTGCGACTTTTGTAAAATATTTAAAAGAACGTAAAATTGAGTAGTCCAAATTTGATATTATTTATTTTATTTTATTTTATCTTAGAAAAGCTGAAAGAATTGTGAATTAAAAAACTTTAAATTTAGACTATTCAAATTAAACTAAAACGGTTCAAATCATCGTAGGTTTGACATCACAACCCAATTTCAAGGGCCACTTGGAGGACCCCACTTACACCGCTTAGACATTATAGCCGACAATTATCCCTCCCAAGTAAGTAAGAAAACACCTGATCAATTAATATTTTATAAGTTTCGGCCAAAAAAAAAAAATTAATATTTTATAAGTGATATCACGATTTCGAAAATCTAAATTAGTTACTTCTTTAAGTTGGCCTTTTAATATTTGTTGTACTACTTAATTAAACGAGTTATAACATTTAAATACCATTCAGGTCAACCACGAGATATGTGATACGCAATTTCTATTGTCATTATTTATATATAGTGGCAAGTAGTGTCTCGTTAATTTTTTTTATCTCTTTTAAATAAAATAAAAATTTTATTACTACCTCTACCTTTAAATATAAAAGCTAGATCAATAATTTATAAATATTAAAAAAATTAGTTAAATTAGTTGTTTATAACAAATTCATGTTTATTTTCTAACCTACCCCTTTAATCTATCATTACTCGCGTTAATATAAATAAATACCTTTAATACATTCGGTCAATGGGAAGAAGTTAAAAAGATTAATAAATTTGAAAGATAAAAATAGATTGAGATATTAATATACTATCTTTGTTTCTTAATATAAGACAGTTGACTAATCTGGGAAGATTAAAAAAATTAGTTAAGTTGGTTACTTGTAATAAATATGTGTTATTTTTATTAGAATACTCTTGTTAATCAGATGTATTAGCTAAAACTATCATTTGATGGAACATTTAACATGTGCAACTACTATAAGAACTATTTTAGAAAAAATAAATAAATATAAAAAACAAAGTGGATTGATATTTTATATTTAAGACTAAATTGAAAATCAAACAAGCTTTTATATTAAGGATCAGAAGTAACATTATATTTAAGACCAAAACTAATGGCCTCCAATTAGTTTTTATGTTTAGAACAAAAAAATATTAATATTAAGTGTGCAGCATAAACTTATTATTTTCTATATTAAAATTTGTCATTATAAACTATTTAGTTTATTATAAGTAATAAGTCGACTCTTTATTAGTTAGAACAATTTTTGCTAGTTATTAAAATTTTTAATATTGATATTAGTTGTAAATTCCAACCCCTCTCATACAATTATTTACTTTTTCGTTGGAGCAGCTAGAGATTTGTACACAGCATGAAGGCAACATCAATTTTATTATATATTTTTATATAGGATAGTGTCATACTGTCATGAGTTTCACATTAATACTTTCAGTGAAAAATTGATGTGATGGAGAGAACTACCCACATAGAGCGTTGTGAATATTCTAACATATTTTTATAAATGTTTTTGCTATTTAGAAAGGAAAAATTTCATAAGAAAAATCCTGAAATTATCATTTCTCAATTTAGATGTTTAAGAGTTAGAAATGACAGAAAAGAAAGTGATGTCTAATTTGATATTTTGTAAATATATTTAAATGACTAAAATATTCTTGTATTAGATTTTAAAAAAAGTTACAAACTTATCATTGTCAATATACTTTTTGTCATTACCTATTTAACATTTGTCATTTCGAATTCACAATTTGTTAATAAATAACTTATAATTGTCAGTATATTTTTTGTTATTTATTGTCAATACTTATCATTATCAATTTACAATTTGTTAATAAACTTTTTGATATAAGGACATTTTAGCTATTTAACTAAATTTTGCAAAATACTAGGTCATACACTACTTTTTTTCATAAAATTTTGAAGTGTTAAATGTCTGATTTGGAACTCAGGTAAAAAAAAAAAAGTGTCTGATTTGGAATATTACATGTTCCAGCTTTTTTTTTTAATGTCATTTTCCCTTCTCAAATAATAAAAAAATAAATTCATGATTACCAAAAAAAAATTATTCTATTAATATATTTATGTATTCCAACCCGGTTGGAAAACGTCCATTTCCTGAGAATTCCGTCACGGTAAGATGAAATCATGACCGTTCATTGAATGATTTGCTTTGCCCCGCACATGAAGGGTTGAGATGTACTCGAGGACGACGAGTCCACGACCATATTACAGCCACAAGTCTCTCCCAATTCAACGCAACAACCATTCGAGCCTACTGATCCCAATGTCAGATCACTAGCCTTCAATCCCAATTCACAACTTTGAACTTCAGTTTAATTTCATCTTCGCCTACCTCCTTGCAAAAAATGAACTAGGAGTAAATCCAAGAAGACCGAGTCAATAAAGAATCACAATCACAATAATGAATGTACCAAAACCTGCCTATCGTTTCTTGCCCTTTAACCATTGCCGACAAAAAGCAGAAACTCTGGTTCTGAATGTATAATCAAAGATACGGATAGCAGTAAACTTGATTTTGAGGCAGATATGTCTGTGAAGCTCGTGGCTATGGTGTTTTTGCTGGTGGCAGCGAGTGGTGAGGATACAAGTTTCATCTTTAATAATGGCTTCCAATCAGCTCATTTAACCATGGATGGTATTTCAGAGATCACTCCCAATGGCCTCCTCCAACTCACAAACGAAACGAGGGAAAAACGAGCCCATGCTTTCTACCCCAATCCAATAGCTTTCACCCCCTCTTCTTCTTTCTCAACGGCTTTTGTTTTCGCCATTAGACCTGAATACCCTACTTTGAGTGGTCATGGAATCGTTTTTCTAGTCTCTCCAGAAAAAGCGCTTCCGGGTGCTTTGCCTACTCAATACTTAGGTCTCTTCAATGACACCAACAATGGCAACAGTACAAACCATGTTTTTGCAGTGGAGCTCGACACCATACAGAACAGAGAGTTTGATGATATCAATGATAACCATGTCGGAATTGACATTAACAGCTTGAGGTCGGCCCATTCTACTCCTGCAGGATATTATGATGAAGGGTCCCAGCTAAAAAATATGAGTCTTATCAGTGGCCTTCCAATGCGGGTGTGGGTGGACTATGATGGAGGAAAGAAGCAAATTAGCGTCACCCTTGCTCCCATCGACATTAACAAACCCAAAACACCTTTGTTAACGTTATCCCAAGATCTTTCGCATATTATAAAATATCCCAGTTATGTGGGGTTTTCATCCTCTACTGGGTCTATATTAACTTCTCATTATGTTCTTGGCTGGAGCTTCAAGCTCAATGGGGAGGCTCAAAATCTTGTCATCTCTGAACTCCCGAAGTTACCACGACTTGGAGGAAGGAAACAATCAATGGTTTTGCTAATCGGGTTGCCTCTGCTTTCACTATGTTCGATTTTTGCCGTGATCTTATCCATATTTTATTACATGTATAGGAAAAAGAAGTTTTCTGAGATTCAAGAAGAGTGGGAGCAAGAATATGGCGCTCACAGGTTCAAATACAAAGCTCTGTACGTTGCCACAAAGGGTTTCAAAGACAGAGAGCTTCTGGGAAGTGGTGGATTTGGCAGCGTATACAGGGGAACAATGCCAACTTCAAAAGTCGAGGTGGCTGTGAAGAAAATTTCACATGAATCTCGACAAGGCATGAGGGAATTCATAGCAGAAATCGTGAGCATCGGTCGCCTACGCCATCGAAACCTCATCTCTCTTTTGGGATATTGCAGACGGAAAGGAGAGCTTATTTTGGTTTATGATTTCATGCCGAATGGAAGCTTAGATAAATACCTCCATAACCAACCCAGAGTGACACTAAATTGGATGCAAAGATTCAGAATCATCAAAGGCGTAGCTTCGGGATTGTGCTATCTGCATGAAGAATGGGAGCAAGTTGTGGTTCACAGAGACATAAAAGCAAGCAATGTTTTGCTAGATTCAGAGTTCAATGGCAGGTTAGGAGATTTCGGTCTTGCAAGATTATATGATCATGGGAGTGATCCTGCAACTACTCACGTGGCTGGGACCTTGGGATATGTGGCACCGGAGAACACAATAACGGGAAAAGCCACAACAAAGTCTGATGTTTTTGCTTTTGGCACTTTTTTGTTGGAGGTTGTATGTGGAAAAAGACCTATAGAAGGAGAATTTATTTTGGTGAACTGGGTTTATGGGTTGTGGAAGAAAGGTGAGATTAACAAAGCAAAGGATCCAAATTTAGGAACAGAGTACAAAGCAGAGGAGGTAGAATTAGTGCTGAAACTGGGGCTGATGTGTTCCAATTCTAAGGCTGAATATAGGCCCAGCATGCGCCAAGTTGTGCAGTACTTGAATATGGAAGTGCCTTTGCCTGATTTGCCATTGCCATTGTCGTCTCCTTCTTGCTATGGATTTACATATGGGAGTTACGAAAACTTTGAGGACGTTCGAATGTCCTTTGCATCTTCATCTCGCACTTCAATTCCCGAATCAATCCTCTCGATCTGGAGGTCGTTGATTTCCTCTAGAAGACAACATAGGTACGGGACGTAGCATTTAAGTACTTGTATTCTCTTGGTTAGGTTGCATGATGCTTTTATAATAACATGCTTATTTTTCCCTTTGTTCTATGCTTTGTTAGTTGTGTTCTGTGTGCATCTATCTATCTATCTATTTTCCTTCTGAAATCTTGTAATGCTCGAGTCGCTGTAAATGGGTCGGGTGTATAATCCACATTTTAATGGGCTCCGGTTAATTCAATATTGGCCTGCCTGGTAGACATTACAATGAGCTGGTCATGGGTCACTCCTTCCTCTCCCAGCAATTACTCTGCTTTTCCCCTGCCGTCTCCAAGCTGTGCGTTAGTGCATGTGCGCCCGCACTCCACCTCAGTCTTCTTACCCGCCGTCGTCTCCACATGCGGGTTCATTCTGCGTGTTCCTTCGTGCCTCCGCCTCAGCCTTCTCACCTGCCATGTTTGATCTGCCAAAGCTTCATCTTTCCCCGAATCCAGAAAAAATTCATGTGCGGCTTCTATCTCCACCATGTTTTTGCAAGATCAAAGCTTTACCTTTTCCCAAATCCGGTGAGCATCGTGTGTGCTTTAAGATTAAAAGTTCCTGAAATCTCAGCCTTCTCACCCACCATGTTTGATCTTCCAAAGCTTCATCTTTCCCCAAATCCAGAAATAATTCATGTATGGCTTCTATCTCTACCATGTTTTTGCAAGATCAAAGCTTCACCTTTTCCCCAAATCTTGTAAGATTCGTATGTGCTTCGATATTGAAAGTTCCTGAAATTTTCACTATTTCTGGCAAAACACTGTAGTTAAAAAATTAAATATATTATCCACATACTATAATCCCCAAATCACGGCCATGTTTTTGGGCTCTTGATTCCAATGCCCAACTATCAATGCATTCGATATGGTTTTTGGGATTAGCATTTGGGGCACTTGAACATTTTTCTTCTCATGTGATGTGCGGTCATCTTTGGATTGTTTGAGGGAAAAAAAGAAAATTATGACTTAAACTATTGATGATTGATCCTGACTTTGATTTTGAATCTTTGAAAACAAAATTATGAGTTAAATAATTGATGATTGATTTCGATTTTGATTTTGAATCTTTTTGGCTTTGATCCTATCAGCTTAATTTGATCTTTTTGACTTTGATCTTTTATGGATTTTGGTTTGTATTTCAGATTCAGATTTTTTATCACACCATTATTGTTAATAATCAATCATTAATATATTGTCATAGCTATTCAATTTCATCTGTTTATAATTCCATCCATTCATAATCAATCAGATGTATGACTCTTAAAATTTGCTATTCAACTTTACCCGTTCATAATTTAACTTTTGGTTTAATGATTCTTAAAATTTAGGCCCTTCTCAATTATAATAGCTGGGTAGAATAATTGTAGCTTCCTCATTGAATGCACAAGATGGACGTATAACTTTTGGTTTAATGATGACTCTTTAAATTTAGACCCTTCTCAATTGTAACAGCTGGGTAGAATAATCATAACTTCCTCCTTGAATGCACAAGATGGATGGACGTACGAAATAGTTTAATTCAATTCAATTATTACGTTACGTAAATAGTATATTAATAAATTAATTAATAATTAATAATTGATAATTAATTTACAATTATTTTTATTTAGTGCTCATTGACATTTATCTCACCCTGTTTAAATGCCGCAAGATGTACCGGATAGTACAGTTTTGTTAACTTCACATTCAGCATCAACCAATAATCTCATTTTCCTAAGCTCCACTTCAACTTTAGATTTGTTTACATTTTACCACCTTAGATTTGTTTACATTTTACTAATATTGATTAAGACAACTGTTGTGCTTTCCTTCTTTAGTGGGTGATGAGAAGATCATCATCATAATATGGCTAGCATTACGCAAGACCACATCAAAGATGTCAACAACAATAAAGATATATGGGCTATTGTTGCTCATGTTCTTAGAAAGTGGATTGCCTGCAAGAAGACCCCACCATATGCTCCCTAGAGGATTGGCTTGCTTCTTGTGGATAAGCAGGTAAGGCAGAAATTGGCATTGCTTAATTATCTAAAATGTACTATTATTAATTGACCCCGCAAAATTGGTATAGGGTTATAGGATAGAAGGTTTAGTAACACAAAGAGGACTGTTTGAGCGTTAGAAAAATGAGCCCAAAGAGGGCGAATTATTCCACTTTGAAAACTTTGAGGTTGTTGACAATGGAGATCAATACAGAGTTACAACACATTCTTGGAGGCTTAAGCCTCATAATACGACATACTTTGAAGAATTAGATTTACCAATTCTTGGTGAGGCATACAACTTCATCCCAATAAAAGATATTGTTGAATTCACTATAAAGAATGAGGGGTTGATTAGTTAGTACTGTAGGGTTCTATTTAAGATTCAAATGTTAGCTTTTCACTTCTATTTCAATCATGTGGTAAACAAATTGTGTGCAAATGTGATGGGCTTCCTCCAAGGATTTGGCGCCTTGCAAGACTACAAGAATGAGTTTGAAACTTCTAAAAGACTAAACCTCACTCTTACTGACAAAAAGTAAGAACCACTCCCAAAGATTTCTTAAAAATTATTCCATTTTACATGTGCATTTAATTTAATTTGAACACACACATATATTATAGTGATAATATTTATATATTATATTTTTGTCTACTTTATGCATCAGTTCATAGAAAGTCATACAATATTGCAATTTATTTGTATAAATGCCATATTTTTATGCATATTTGTTTCTAATGGTATGTAAACCTCGTTATAGAGTCTCTATTAATGTGTACACCTCAACAACATTTTCTAATTTTCCCCTTCAAGAACAATTTAAAAAGTCAGATTTCTCACGTGATATTTACTTTATAGGTGCCAGTCACACAGTGCAATAGTTAAAAAAAACACTAAAAAAATCAAAATTTATAACAACATACATAAAATTCTTAATCAATCTAAGAATTGGATAGATATATCAAATATAGAGCACAAGAAAAAACCTTAATATTCTGTATATGTTGTATAATATTTTAATATATATATCTATATATATTTTTAATACGTGAGATTCTACATACATTTTGAAATAAATGCAAAGTATAGTTTTATTTTTCATGGGTTAAGTGTTCAAATTTACATATTTTGTATATATTCAATAAGATTTTAATATATATATTCCATATATATTTTTTCAATATGTAAGATTCGACATAATTATAGACAACACATACTTTTGTTTGTTTTGGGTGCTATTAGTATCAAGTGCCATTTGTATATATGTGCGGGCCATGTTTAAAAAAATATTGAAATTTAGCATTGAAAATCAAGTGTTAATACTTTTTTCAATGGTGATATTATATAATATGTAAGTGTCACTTAATATACTTTTTTCACATGGTTTACACTAAAAGCAATGGATTTTCTCTCTTGTTGTGTTTAGAATTGACCGGAGAACATTAAGCCATTCATTTAGAATATCTAATGAGTCCTCTAATGTTTCAAATACTAGAGCAACTGTCATGCTTGGGATGATAGCACAGCTTCGTGTAATTAATAACATAGCACAGTTTATTTTATTTTATTTTAAAGCTCTATATCTTGCATCATTCATCTGTCAAATCAATTCTACTCGTATCGTACAAATGTAAGCGTGTTTCATATTGATCTTTGTTACAAAGCTTGACGTGAACTTAATGAGAGATTTTGGGACAAATTGGGTCATATATTTACTATATACATTTGTAATTAACTCTCTAGCCACTAGTGTTTGTCATTTCTCTTCTCTTTACTTAAGTAGCCAAATATGACCTGCAAGGAAGCGCACAATAAATGTGGTGCTATTTGGTACTTGCGCAATCAACACATTTAACAACAAGAGTCATGAACTCTAACCCCCTATTATTGGGATGGTCAGGTTTGGCAGGCTTAACAAGCCTATAGATAAAGAATTCTTTTTTAAAACATTCTCAATTTTAATGTCCTTACACTCTATTTATTACTAATAATATATGTGTCATTATTAGCACATGGTCACATTACCAATAATGTGTTCGAAGCAACTAAGGTTTTGTTCAATCCTAACATTCCATAGGCTCAAATTCTGCTCCAAAGGTTACATTCAATAAAAATATACTTCCGCGTTATAAAATTGCTATTCATTTGAATTTATTTATCTAGGAAAAAAATTAATCATCAACATTAATATTATTGCTAGCCTTGATGAAACACCTAAGGGGAGCTAACGTTTCTCTCATGTAACAAATGCCGATAAATAATAAGCTTCTTGACAATGAGTTCCTGTTAACTTCTCCAACAAGGATACATGTGGCTGAACTCTCCAAAATTAGCAAGATTAGAACGTATCTCTATTTATACAAGCATTCTATTGCGACTTTTTAGAATTGGAACATATCTCTATTTATCAATTTTAAATTTTATAAATAGTTGCTTTCACTCTTGATATTTGTATTACTCAAATTAAGCAAAAGTATGATAATCAATACTTGACTGGGTTTTGAAACCAAATTCTCGTGAGAACAATATTCTACTCATCACTTTATTACTTGTCATGACTTGTGCGCTTCTGGCTCGTTGGCCAAGTTTATTTAACATTGCTAGAAAAGGTTAAATGAGTAACAAAATAATGAAATTAGAGGGGATGGCAAAATCTTTTTTTTTTTTAGATAGAAGTGATGATATGAATTGTTTTTGTAAATGTGATGGCATACATAAATAGTTAGTTTGATATTAGATATACACAATTATATGTTTTATTTTAATGGGTTGTAAAATTGATGTAATTACATCTATATGAAGTTATAAATGAAAGTTGGCTATATATTACATTTACATAATCAGTTGTCATTATTCGCACATTTCATTGTCAATATATTATTCATTACTTGTCACTCATTGCATTATTAGTTGTTAATCTATGTGCTAACATAAATCTTAAAAAAATCTAATTTTAAGTTACATAATGCTATACAACATCATAAAATATCACAAATTCCTCTCAACTAAAACATTTTTGTTATAATGTGATATAAAATCATTAATAAAAGTCAATTACCACTTATAAAAATTATAAAATCACTCATCATTAATGACACATTCACTTGTTAATGATAGTATAATGACTTGTCAATGACATAATTGTGATCTGTCAATTTACATGCTCATATGAATTTGTTTAAGCTTTGAAAAGATGTCATTTAATTGACATAAATTTTTGTTATACATTCTCGTTATAATGTGATATAAGATAATATACTATTTCTACTTTAAGTGAAATATAATATAATTGCAAATTTGAATCAATGTTATTTATGACAATTGTTAATATCTACATCTTAACCATTAATATTAATAGTAGCATTATAACTTGATAATTTCCCTATTGATATATGTGATTTTGAAAATTGGTTTATCTTTTTTTTTTAAAAGAATAAACAATGTAATCACTACGGGACATAAACAACACAATAATTACTATAAAAAAAATTTAATATGTAAGGATCAGGTGGTTCTTATTATAAACCACAACAAACAAAGTAACTTAGGCTAACAAAACAAAGTAACGTAGGCTAGCAACAAAACTCACATATTAGTCTAGACATTATGTAACTTGAACTCATACTTTTTCAAACTTATATCAGCAGATAAATTAACAAGTGATGATGCAATTATTGACAAATCTCACTGAAACCATTGACATGTGAATGTTTCATTACTGATAAGTGATTTTATAATTTCGTATAAGTGATAATTGACTTTTAATAGCTATTGTATTTCATATTATAACTAAAACATATTAATCTAGAGGATTGGTGACATTATATGACATTGTATGATATTAGTAACTTGAAATTATATTTTTCCAAATGTATATCAGTACATAAATTGACAACTAATAATATAGGCCGCGATAGTTGTCAAAGAGCTATATTGACAACTATCGCGACTTATATTGACAACATATTCTCTTATTTCATAGTAATATTTTTTATCCACACCAAACTTCATTTTTTTCCCATCAATTCCTGCTAAATCATGTAGAAATAGAGCAAGCTCATTCTCAACCACTACTAGAAAAAAGACTTTTAACGTCGCCAAATAACGGCGATTAAAAAGAAAAACGTCATAGAAAAAAAGGCAGTGGCATTTTCATAAATAAATGCTGTGATGGTTGATTTTCCACAGCAATTATTTAGAAAACTGTTGTGGAAAGTGTTAAATAACCGCCGTTAAAAACACTTTTCACAACAGTTTTCTAAATAACCTTCATAGAAAGTTTTAAAAAAAACCCTACCACGGGTTTAGTTTCTTTCATTTTCACAATTTTGTTTCAGTGCGTCATGATCCCCCTCTGTCTCACCCCCAACAACCTTCCATTACCAGCCATTCCCCCCTTTTCCCACAGCTTAAATATATTTTGTACCTTATATGGAAGAGTAAGTATATTATTGTATTTGAGATACATAAGTTGTATGTATAAGATTATAATTAACATGATTCGTATTTTATAGTTATCATTGGATTCTAATTGTTTGTGCCCCTTTTGATAACAAAGTCTATTGATTCGATTCCCTCTATGGAAGTCCATTTGAAGAAACCAGAGATGTCATCAACACGTTAGTTTATGTTTACATATTTATTACGTGTGAAGTTTATAAAAACATGCTCTAATATCTTTTTTTTTTTAATAATGTTGATAGGGCTTTTCATAGTTTCAATGTTGTGGCGATTAAGCAAAATAAATAACCACCAACATGGATTCTCCCAAAAGTATGTTGTTTTGAGCTAAATATATACTTTTAAATATTTTTCAATAATTAAAGTTAATGTTTATAATCAAAGTCTAATATTCAATTTTATATTTCATTTTGTTAGTACTGTTGTCAACAAGGGCATGTTAAATGTGGATATTATGTCATTCGCTACATGAATGACATCATTGAGACATGGATGACTGAGAAATTAGATGAGGTAAAGATAAGTTACATTGTATGTCATTCTTCAATTCATTTCACATTTTTGGTTAAGTTCACTATATTATTTTTTATTTATTTACAGGTATTTCAAAATGCTGCGCCATATCCCATGGATGACATCAACATGATGAGGGACACCTTGTCAACAACATTGCTACAAAATTTTAAGCAAATTCGAAACAGTTAGGTCATTATATTTCTCAAAAAATTCCTTGTTGGATTTTTTTTCCTTAGTTCCTATACATGTTCCTTACTTCTATTGTACATACAAAATTCAGTTGTTACTTTTCTTTGAAGATGTAGACTCTACTTTACCTCTCTATTTTCTTTTGTGCCTATATTAAAAGAAATTTCAATGCTTACTGTATATGTTAACTAGCTAGTTGATGTTCATATGGTCTTGTTCTGCATATTTTAGGCTGCCTACATTTATTTGGAACTATAAACTGCAGGGAGGTAAAAAGAAAGTCATGCAGTAGTATAAAAAAAGTTGAGTTCTTAACAGCAATTATTTTAATAATCGCCGTTAAAAACATTTTCCACGGCGGTTATTGACTAAACCACCATGGAAAATGAGACTATAACGGCAGTTATGTAAGAAACTGCCGTAGAAAATTAATTTTCCATGGCGGTTTTCAACGGCCGTGTTTTCTTTACCTTTCAATGTTGACTATATCCAGCTCGCCTCCAAAACCGCAGTGAAAAACCCTTAATAACCGTCGTTAAAAGTTTTTTTTTTTCTGGTAGTGAACCCACCCACAATATACCAAGAAACAGAACACCTATCATCACCTACCTACTCATAATAAAACCCCAACTTAGACGACTAACACACACTAAATCAAAAAAACAAAAGTTATTTTTGCCAATGATTGACATCATTAGAGTGGGCAAGATTTTTAGATGGTAGCAAGGAAGAAACATGATGAACTTTGGGTTTTTTTTTTTTTTCCCTCTTACGTTCTGCGAATAGGGGACATCTTTTGGTTGAAATAGAGCAACTTTGTGGCAGCTTTGGATGCATCTTACCAAAGCGGAGAGGTCATTTCACACTTTTTTAAATTGCACTTAGGTCTTTTTGGGACTTCAGATTTATCATTTAGTTTTTTGAGACCTTTTTATAATATTTTTTGTTCCACAGGACTCAGTGTTATTTTCTCATATTTAAATACCATTCAGGTCACCCGCGATAATGGAGCTCTTATATATTGGCCTATGGTTTTCCCGAAGAGAAACTTAAATTTTTATACGAAAAGGTTGAGATATGTGATATGTAATTTCTATTGTCATTATTTATATATAGTGTTAAGTAGTGTCTCATTAGTTTTTTTATCTCTTTTAAATAAGAAATTTATTACGGCCTCTACCTCTAAATATAAAAGTTTGATAACTAATTTATAAATATTTAAACCATCCTTTTAATTTATCATTACTCACATTAGTAGAAACAAATACCTTTAATACATGCAGTCAATGCGGAGAAGTTTAAAATTTTTTTATAAATTTAAAAGACAAAATATATTGAGATATTATATTTAATATTAAAACTAATGACCTCCAATTAATTTTTTTATTTAGAACAAGAAAAATTATTAATATTTCATTTTAATTTTGCCTAACTTTGCGGGCGTACTCATAATATATAATCGTTTGCTAATGAGTGTTTTTTTTTTTTGGGCCAAACGTTTGCTAATGAGTTTGAATAATCAAACTTGGGGAAATTAGGACCAGGTAGTGCATCCTGAAAGAGATATAAAACTGAAAAAAAGGAAAAAAAAAATTACTTACAAATTTTAGGCAAGAAAATTGAATACTTAAGGTGTTCAGAAATTTTATAAGTCATTTTCAATTAGTTCATAGATATTGAAGAGGAAATTAAATTTTAGTTAAATTATTAAATAAAAGTCGTCTCTAAATCGGGCCATACATAAGACCGGAGTAAGTAATTTCTATCCGTACGCATCACAATATCTGGCTCTATATGAATTTGGCTATCACACTAATTTCTACCCGTACGCATCACAATTTCCAATATACAGTACATATATACAAAGTATTTAAAACGTTCAAATACTTTGTATATATGTAAGCTTTTCGATCATTTAAACGGACTGGATTTTAGGTTGCTGAGGGACGCTGAGAAAATTGCTTCTGAGAGGATCTGGTTCCGTATGTAAGACCGGAGTGAGTGCTATATCATATACTGTGTATAGATTGAATAATCAACCACGATGGTTTTCAATAGCCGCCATTGAAAATGCATCAAACCCAGAAGCCAAACCATTTACGGCAACCAACCCTGATGCACGAGTCCACAAGATAATAGTCAATTAAGAATCGAGTCTTCCCCTTCAATGACCTCCCAAAAGCAAAAGCAAAGACCGACATAGATTCTGAGACAGCCATGTGTGTTTCGAAGCTTATTATGGAGTCGGTGCTTTTGTTGGTGACAACAATGGTACATATATATATGAGTGGTGCAGATACAAGTTTCATCTTTAATAATGGCTTCCAGTCAGCTAATTTAACCATGGATGGTGTTTCTGAGATCACTCCCAATGGCCTCCTCCGGCTTACCAATGAAACCGTCCTACAAAAAGGTCATGCTTTCTACCCAAACCCAATAGTTTTCACAAACACGTCTTCTTTCTCTACCACTTTTGTTTTCGCCATTAGACCTATTCCTCCAACTTCGGGTGGTCATGGAATGGCCTTTGTAATATCTCCAACCAAAGCATTTCCTGGTGCTCTTGCCACTCAGTACCTAGGCCTTTTCCATGACACCAACAACGGTGACCCAACAAACCATGTGTTCGCAGTGGAAATCGACATCGTTCAGACCATTGAGTTTGGGGATATCGATAATAACCATGTGGGAATCGATATTAATGGCCTGAAATCAATGAAATCTGCTCCTGCTGGGTATGATAATGGGTTTCAGTTCCATAATTTGAGCCTTATTAGTGGCCTGCCGATGCAAGTGTGGGTGGACTATGATGGAGGCAAGAAACAAATCAATGTCACCCTAGCTCCAATCAATGTTATCAAGCCCGAAACTCCACTGTTAACATTGTCCAAAGATCTTTCTCAAATTCTAACCAATCCCAGTTATGTCGGATTTTCATCTTCCGATGGGCAGCTGATGGCTTTTCATTATGTTCTTGGTTGGAGTTTCCAGCTCAATGGGGAGGCTCAAAACCTAGACGCCTCAAAACTCCCAAAACTGCCACCAGTTGATGGCAAACGATCTTTGATCTTATTAATTGGGTTACCGCTCCTTTTATTCAGTTTAATTGTTTTTGTGAGTGTATTTGTAGTTTGGTACATAAAGACGAAAAGAAAATTTTCCGAGATTGTTGAGGAGTGGGAGCAAAATTATGGTCCTCACAGGTTTAAGTACAAAGATCTCTACTTTGCCACGAAAGGATTCAAAGAGGAAGAGCTTTTGGGCTGTGGTGGATTTGGAAAGGTGTACAAAGGGACGATGCCGGGTTCGAAAATTGATGTTGCGGTGAAGAAAGTGTCACATGATTCCCAGCAAGGCATGAGGGAATTCATTGCAGAAATTGTAAGCATTGGTCGTCTTCGGCACAAAAACCTTGTTTCTCTTCTAGGATATTGCAGGCGAAAACGGGAGCTTCTTTTAGTCTACGAGTTTATGCCAAATGGAAGCTTAGACAAATACCTGTATAATCAACCCACTGTGACACTAAATTGGATGCAAAGATTTAAAATCATCAAAGGGGTAGCTTTGGGATTGTGCTATCTGCATGAAGAATGGGAGCAAGTTGTCATTCACAGAGACGTGAAAGCAAGCAATGTTCTGTTAGATTTAGAGTTAAATGGCAGGTTAGGAGATTTTGGTCTTGCTAGATTATACGATCATGGGGCTGATCCGACAACTACACATGTGGCCGGCACTGTAGGATATCTTGCACCAGAAAGCATACGAACAGGAAGAGCCACGACAAAATGTGATGTTTTTGCTTTCGGTGCCTTATCACTTGAGGTTGTATGCGGAAGAAGACCTATAGAGCGAGGAAGTGAAGATGAGATTTTGGTGGATTGGGTTTATGAGTTATGGAAGAAGGGTCAAATTATTGGGGCATTGGATCAAGCTTTAGGAAGGGAATATAACGAAGAGGATGTAGAATTAGTGTTGAGATTAGGACTTTTGTGTTCAGGTTCTAAAGCTGAAGGTAGGCCAAACATGCGTCAAGTTGTGCAATATTTGAATAGGGAAGTTCCTTTGCCAGATTTGTTATCACAAATGTCATCTCCCTCTTGTTTTGGATTCACATTTGAGAGTGATCAAGGGTTTGATGCTATAGTGTCCTTTCCATCTTCCATTGTGGGTGGCACTCACACTTCAATATCTGAATCACTTCTCTCCGGAGGTCGCTGAATGCTCTTCCGAAGACAACCGCACCCACTTGTATGTGCACGTGTTCAGCTCATTGCATTATGTTAAATTTATGTTATTATGCTTGGATTTTTGTTTTTGATATTCACATATTTTTAGTTATGGGTGAATCCAAATTACAATTTACTACCTTAAATTATTAAAAATTAAATCCTTTATGCCTGAAGTTTTACTAAGTTTCAGAATCACATGTGCTCTTTAGAAACAATCCTTCGTTTCTCTCATGCGATTTCCTTCTCCATTCAATTCTGTTGATCGCCTAATGTATAAAGGAGGAGATAAGCCATTGAGGTCTCATGTCCATATGATTTTATTTTGTTATAATATACTCATCCGGTTCTAAATATAAAACCCTTTTCATAATATAAATTATATTACAAAAATGGTCTTATATTTAGGACAAGAAGAGTACATCATTTTTAACCTTGATTCACAAGTTTTTGGTAAAATCCCTTTCATTTCCGCGTAGCAACGTACTAGCAAAGGGACACTAGGTCTAAAATACGCCACAAAGGACTAAAGATGAAGAGCTTTGGTGGATGATTTGGAAAAGTCGTAGCTGGTGCGAGACAAAGGTCTAATCAGAGTGGTCAGTGTCCTCTCTCCGACAGCGACCACCGTGGAGAAGTCAGCCGATCGATTGTGAAGACGGAAATACCCAGAATTCCACCTCCGAAACAAGAGATTCCTAGTCCATCGTCGCCTAAACACACGATAATTTTTTCCCATTGTTCTTTCCTCTTTAATTTTCTTCCCGTCTAAACGATAAATGAAAATAGGTGGCAACTGCCTCACTTTATATGTTCATAAATACACCTAAGCTGTCAGCAAATTTTAACTGTGTTTGAATACCTAGCCAAGTCAGGTATAAATTTTAACAGAGATAAAGTACCATAAGGATTTCCATGAAAACAAAGTTTAGGGACCGATTTGAAAATGAGTATAAACTGTAAATTTTAAGATGACCCTACATCGTTCTATGCCTAATATGACAGTAACACAAGTAGGTCATTCTATTTTTGAAAAGAGCATTTTTTTTTAGCCCTAAAATAAGATAAATTTATTGACAAAAAAATGAAATAAAAAATTGACTGTAATCTCAAAAAAAAAAAAATTCATTAGACATAAATTAATCAGACTACTTGACACAACATTCCTCTAACATGGAATGTAAAACTCATTTTATAATATAAATTGCACTACAAAACAAGTTTTATGTTTAGGACAAAAGGAATAATTTAGTAGAAAAATAATATTATTAGTACTATTAATTATTAAAAATGAGTGGTATACTCTCAAAACGAGTTGTAATAATCCCTTATCAGTCTCATGAATATAACTATGATTTGCTTAATTACTTTAAGAACACACACAGAGTATGTGGCATGTGCTACCTCTAGTCGTTATATAAGAGTTTGTTAACTAATTTGAGTATATTAAAAAAAATTAGTTACATTAGTTATTTATAATAAATAGATGTTATCTTTCTTAAAATATTCTTACTAATCAAGTATATTAGCTGAAATTACTATTATTATGAGAGACAGAGTGAATTGAAATCTTACATTTATGGCCAAATTAAAAGTCAAATTAGCTCTTATATTCAGCATCATAAGTAGTATTTGTGTAGTTACAGATTGTTGAGTTATGAAGGTGGAAATAAGAATTGAAAGATATGAGAATGTATTAGAATTGGTGACATTTAATTAAGGATGTTTTAATTTTGAAAATTAGATAATGTAGACACGAACCAATATTGGATTGGCTGGGACCGCAGCTTAATTAACGCTGCACTGGTTGGGTATGACAGCAATAAATATGCCAACTTAATTCAAGGACCATTTGGCACATATTAACACTTATTATAAGAGTTAGTTAATTTATTTAAGTGGATTGAGAAAGTTTATCAAGTCAATTATTTGTAATTAATAGGCGTTGTTTTCTTTAAGATACCCTTATTAATCAAGCATATTAATTTTAACATTTGATGAAGTATTTAAAATATGCAATTACTACAAGGAGTCCTTTGAAAAAATGAATAAATATAAGAGACAAAATGGATTGTGATTTTATATTTAACCAAATCAAAAGTCAAATTAACTGTTATATTAAGCACCAAATATCACTAATAATCAATCCGAACTAGACTTTTCCGGGCCGGGGGACCATAAAATTCATGCTATAGAAAACCTCATAGCCATTGTTGTCAAACTCGCGAGTTGACTCTACGAGTTTAATGTTTTTACGTTTCCAGCTAACAAAACCGTGTCAACTCGCTCTTAAACTCATGATAAGTATAAACTCGGTTAAACTTGCAAATTCATTTACCGAGTTTACCGTTTTTACGTTTTTAGCTTACAAAATCGTGTTAACTCACTCTCAAACTCATACTAAAATTTTGAATTTTATTATGTTTAATGACTTTATATATGAGTTTTATAGAAATTCCTTTGCTAAATGTGATAAATTATGAACATTGATGGATATAATTTCAATTATTTAAATAAAATCGTTCTCATTTTTTATATATTAATTATTTGATTTTATACTTTTAATACCCATTTATTAGTAAAAGTAGATTCTTATGAGTTTACGATTCGAGTTTACTATCCGAGTTTATATCATTATCATGAGTTTGTTTAAAGTCGTGAGTTTGACAACCTTACTCATAGCAACTAAATATATGTCCCAAATTTGAAACCCATAAAGCATATATAGAAATTAAAGAAGAGATTGAAATTTCCATTCAAAAAAAGAAAGAAGAGATTGAAATAATACTGGAACCAGTTTTGGTACTTATTATTTTAATGAGCACCTTAAGTTTATCAAATCTAAACCGTCCATATCTCATTTGAATGGTCTAAATTTAATTTTTATTTATTTATTTAAAATAATTATTTTAATATGTATAGAATCTAAGATAGAAATAATCCCTTAACTATTGTTCTTTCAAAAAAAATTTTTTTTTTCTATTTAAAAACAATTAATTAAATATTTTAAATCTAAATTATCTAAATAAGATATAAACGATCCAGATCTGATAAGTTTAGGGTGCTAGTCAAAACTGGTTCCAATAATACTAACTTAGCTGTCCGAGTAGCTGATAACGTTCAAAAAGACCCTCAACAAGACTTCTGAGGCGGCCATGTCTATGAAGCTTAGGGCAAAAAGAGGGCTTTTGCTTTGCATACAATTTCTAAGGCTAAGAATAAGTATTTGTACTTTAGTTTCAAATCATACTTAGAGTGCTGCTGTTCAAGACACACAAATAGTTGACACTAGCATATAACAATATTTCCCCCTTGGTTGTTTCTGAAATTTTACATTGATCAACAGGGTGACGTCGAAATTAGGACGTTAGAAAGTATTTTTTCGGTTTTTAATATAATATTTATTTAACTAATTTAATTAGATTAAAGAAGTTAGATAAGTTAGTTAATTATAAAAAATATAATATATTTTTTCTAAAACACTATTATCATCTTCTTTAATATCTTATCTCCCTCTTCTACTTGATATAGTTGATGGAGTATCTATATTGATAATTTAGAAAAATAATTGATAAATGTAAGAAATAGATCTTATATTTAAGATCAAAATTAACTTAATAATCAGATCATATATTAAAGAATAGAAGAGTATATTCATATTTGTTATAAGAAAAACTAAGCTTGACGCGGAAATATTTTTTTTTTCCCACAAGAAAAACGCAGAGTTCAATTTTTCGATGAAAACAATTTTCTTTTTCAATTTTCTTGACATGACAGTAAATAATATTACTTAATGTTACATAATGAAAATTATTTACGTGAATACTTAAATAGATGAATTTTGAAAAAAAAATGAAAAAACTGTTTTTAGTTAAAAATGTGACAGGCTACTCCTGCTACCTATTTAAATAGGCTACCATCTCTCTCCCCCCATCTTCTCCTACTATTACTTATACATATTATAATTTATGCAAAAACTAAAATAAAATAAAATAATTAATAATTTAAAAATATGTTAACTATCATCCATTATTTTGAATTATTTTCCCATAAACATTCAGTACTCTAGACTAATTTTTGATGCACACAACAATATAAAATATTTTAATATAACAATATATTTTATGGTGTTAAATGTACTAAAAATTATTTTAGAATATTAAGTGCTACTTAAAAAAAGATTTTAATATGTTAAATGCTACTCCCTTCACTCTTTTTTATAAGTAACTTTGGACTAAATTATGTAGAACAAAATGTTAACTAAAATTGGCTAAAAAAATAAATATGTAAAAATTAAAGTTTTTTCTTAAAAATACTCTTATTTATGGAAAAAAGAGTATAAGAAAGATAATAAGAAAATTATTATAATAAAAAGAATTATGAAATAGAAAATATATGATGGAGAAAGATTACATAAAATATAATATTTAGAATATTTATTATCTGGAAAATGATGGTTTGGGAATAAAAAATAAATATATTACTATTAAAATAAGTTTTTAATAGAGTAAAATAAAAAATTTGCTACAAAAATTTAAGACAACTTATAAATATTACTTATATTTAGAAATAACAAGAAAATGGTGGTTGTTGTTTATGAAAAGGGATGGAAGCAAAAAAACTTAACCAATTTTATTATAAAATATATTCACATAAATATTTAGGACTCTAAACTAATTTTTGACGCACTCAACACTATAAAGATATATCTTATGGTGTTAATGTACCAAAAATTAGTTTAGAACATTAAATGCATATGGAAAATAATTCAAAGCAATGGATGATTGTTAACATATTTTTGAATTATTAATTATTTGAATAATTAAAGTTGTGCATTATTAATTATATGGGAAAGTAGTTCTAAAGCTGAAGATAGGCCAAGCATGCATCAAGTTGTGCAGGATTTGAATAAGAAAGTTCCTTTACCCTATTTGTTATCATTAATGTCAGCTCCCTCTTGTTTTGGATTAACATTTGAGAGTAATCAAGAGTTTGATGTTATAATGTCCTTTGCATCTTCTAGTGCGGATGGCACACTAACACTTCAATATCTGAATCACTTCTCTCCAGAGGTCATTGAATTCTCTCCTGAAGGAGATAAGCCATTGAGATCTCATTCCATGTGACTTTCTTTTGTTATAATATAATTTTTAGTTCTCAATTTTTTTTTCTCAATCATTAATTTAGTCTTTAAATTT